ATTTAATAACTAATCATAGTTTTATAATGTCTTAATTTCGAAAGTACAAGTTATTTGCACGTTACACTTTGCACAAACGTCATTTTAGCCAGCAGTTATGTTATTTTGTGCGAATACATAGTATATTTGATACATATCGGGTAAGTTTTTAGATAATAAACGGAATTTTTAATAATAATTATCGTTTTAATGACTTTTTTTTGATTAAAAAACCCTATTAATCCATTCACCACACATAATATAAAAATAGTATTGAAACTTGATGTAGTTCTGTTGTTGTAAGTTCAACAAACAACTAATAGCAATAAAACTAACTTACCTAGTTGTTATTTTTTCAGAACTTTTATTAAATATTAAAATGAAAAATTCCTAGACCTACAATGACATAAGTACCTATTTTATTTAAAAAACTGTTTGGCGGTAATATTATTGTATACTGTAGTTAGATGCCACTTTTAATTATATCACAGCATTTAATTGATTTCCATAAATTTAAAAAACCTCTGTGCTCACTTCCATTATGTTAGTTTCCATTTTCCTCTATACAAATAAAAAATAAATTTATTCGAAGATTACTTTCTATTAATCGAGTTGCGTTTGCATAACTCGAACAAGTTAAATTTCAACTCGATTTTAATCCGAGTTATCAGATCCATAACAACACTAACAAATCTATTCTCTTTGGTTTAACGTCATGAATTGACGTTTATATCCAACAATTTGTGCTGCCATCTAGTGACATAATTTTCTGTAGTTTCTTTATTTTTTTTAAATACTTCCTCATTGCTGATTTCCATAGTTTCAAAATTTATTATTGTTGAGTTGAGATTGAATAAGAATTTTTTCTGCTTCATATTAATATTATTCAATTTCAATAATCAATATTTTCTTTTAATGTCCAATGTATTCAGGTAAGAATGGTTACACTACTTAGAAAGGGACAAACCAAGATTTATGACCTCTCACTCGGCGCGTGTTTAGACGCACAGTAAGCATTCTAGTTGTACGTAGTACTTATACTTATTAATTCTATGTTTAAAACTTCCTTAAACCAGTTTTAAAATTCTTCTGCGTTCATTTCTTTATGGTAATCACCTTGATTTTTAGATTCAAAGACATTGAGACCTCCTTCAACGAATCCATCCTCACTTCCTATATGGGTTATTATTAGCCTTTTGCGTCCCCTGTAACAAAAACAAACTTTTATGTGAATAAATTCAGAAATAAAAGTATATAACAGACTTCCTGTTTAACAAAATAATAATAAATGCGTCATCAGAGCTGTGCCAGTCAACAACAATAATATCCCTTAAAATTCCTAATTGTCTACCCATTTAACAAAAGAAAAGAACAATATTTGAGTCATTAACATATCTGTGCCAGTCAAATAATATAATAATAATATTACTTAAAATTCATAACAGATAATGAATATTGTACATATTTACAAATAATGTATACAGAAATGAAATGAAAAGAAATGAAAATATCTTTATTCAAGTAGGCTATTACAAGCACTTTTGAATCGTCCAAAAAACTTTTTTCCCCTACCACTTGTTCAGGACGTCTTTTAGCTGACAAGAAGAACAAGCGAAAGAAACTTATCAGCGTTTTTATCATAAGTAATGACATTTACATAAATTATGTCATTACCAAAATAATATGTATTATCAATTTATCACAATAGTAAATACAACTTTCAAAGTCTGTAGGACATAAGTTGAACATATAATTAGTCTTTATAGAACAAAGCGAAGGCTATTAATTCCATGCATTGCGATCCTTAAAATAATCATCAACTTTATAATAGCCTTTACTCACAAGTATATTCTTTACATGAATTTGAAATTTATTTATGGGTAGGTCAATTACATTTTGTGGAACTTTATTGAACATAGCAATACATTTACCCAGAAATGATCCTCTGGTTTTTTGAAGTCTGAAGCTTGGAACGGCAAGTATATCTTTATTTCTTGTGTTAAGATTATGAACACTACTTTTTTTTGTGAAGGAATCGTAATGTTTTCTTGTGTACATAATATTCTCATAGATGTATTGAGAGGCAACAGTCAGAATATTTATTTCTTTAAATATTTCTCTGAGAGATTCCCTAGACCGTAAATTATATATAGCACGGACAGCTCTCTTTTGTAAAATAAAAACATCCTGAATGCTAGCCGCAGAACCCCATAACAATATACCATACGTCATTACACTATGAAAATAACTAAAATATACCAATCTTGCCGTTTCAACATTTGTCAAGAGTCTAATTTTCTTAACAGCAAAAGCTGCAGAACTCAGTCACTTGACAAGCTATCAATATGAGGATCCCATTGCAGTCGGGAATCTAGTGTAATACCAAGGAACTTTGTCGATTCTACTAACTCAACTTTTTCACTATTTACATTTATAAGTGTACTGACATGCCTCACATTAGGTAATGCAAACTTTATGCATTTCGTTTTATTTGAATTGAGCTTTAAATTATTATTATCAAACCACTGTAGAACGTTGTCGAGAGCATTATTTACATCGTCAAAACAATCATTACCCCTCTCAACTTTAGACAGTAAAGAGGTGTCATCTGCAAATAATACTGTCTCGCACAAATTCTTCGTAAAGTGAGGAAGATCATTTATATAAATTAGAAAAAGCAATGGTCCTAATATCGATCCCTGAGGTACGCCCATAGTAACTGGTGCCCCTGCAGATTTCGCTTCATTGATTACTACCTTTTGAATTCTAGCAGAAAGATATAATCTTATTAGATGAAGTGAATTTTTCGTCACACCATAATGTTCTAATTTCCCCAACAGTGTTTCATGACTAACGCAGTCGAATGCTTTTGATAGATCACAAAAAATGCCAATAGCATCTTGTTTATTCTCCCAAGCATCATAGATATGCCTCAGAAGTGCAATTCCAGCGTCTGTTGTACATTTACCTCTGCTAAAGCCAAACTGATTTTGGTGAAGTAATTTATTTAATGAAAAGTGTGCAAGCAGTTGGTTGTACATCATTTTCTCAAATACTTTACTTATCGCTGGTAGAATAGAAATTGGTCTGAAATTACTAGGATCAGACTTGTCGCCTGCCTTGAAAAGTGGGATTATTTTACCATATTTCATTAAATCAGGAAAAGTTCCTTCATCAATGCACTTATTAAAAATACAAACCTGAAGGGGTTTTTAAGCCAGTCATCAAACCGTCAATGAAAGCGTCTCTACTGCTCTTCACTGTCGTATCGACCCATATTTTTGCGGTAGTATGCCCTTCATTCACCCACGTTTTATCCAAATAGTAAATATTTTTCATCGCGATGAAATATTTTTTTTTTCATAAAATTATTTCATCGCGATCGAGCAGTGGGCTGTTCTTTGGCTGCTTCTTTTACAGATTTTGAAGCCACCCAAAGTTCCATCATGATGGATTTCCTTCAAAATCTTAGCTAACGTGGGTATTTCATTTCGGAAAAAGAAATTGTGGACTTTACTTCTTATTGCACTTTTTGTGAAGTCATCATCATTTCTTTGGAGATTTTAGTACACCGTTGACATTCTTCTCTTTCACGCTCCTATGAATGGAAGCCCAATGTACACCCAAAGAAGATGTAACAGCCTTCAATATATCACTTCTTGAAGCCGTAGCCTGCGTTTACCATAGATTCATACATATATGGTATCATAGTCTTATCCGTAGAAGAAAAAGGCCACCGTTTTCTTTAATCAGTCAAATGGTTTGCACTCGCCATATCGCCATATTCAAAAAGTATGTTGTACTATTATCAGTCCTCTATGATGTAGTATAAGCTAGCAAGTCTTCAAGAGAGCAAACAATCACATTAACCAATACACAAGCCGCCCAGTCATCAATGAACTTTAGATATCAACAAGTCCAAAGAGAACGCTAAGTCACAAGGGAGGCCGATAATAGTTTCGAGAGCACGTCTAATTATACGGGTCGCACAAGTAAACTAAAAAGTACTTGAAGTGTGAACACTGCCGTAGGGCTTATCATTGACCATTCACAGGCAAGGAGTTGTGGGAGAGAGATAGCGCTCTACTAATTCGACTCCAGGAACAGAGTATAGCAATGACACGTCTGCCAACGATCGCGTTCACACGTTAATTGCGAGGCCGACCCTGGTCTGGTTGGACCTACATAGCAGTGTAAATCGTTAAGACAGAAAAACGGTAACAGTAAAGAAAAAAGGCTTTAGATAAGTTATATTTTTATAATGAAAAAAAATGAGTAGCTTGGTAGCTTTTATTATTAAATGATTATGTTATCATTATAAGACCATATTTATTTATTTTTTCTCTATCTCTGTTTATAATGTATAGATCTGGTAATGACATGGTTTTTGTAAATGTCATTACTCTTATTAGAGCTGGTGAGTTTCTTGCTCGTTCTTCTTATCGGCCAAAAGACGTCCTGAACGAGTGGTAGGGAAAAAAATGTTGGACGATTCAAAAGTACTTTTAAGAAGTCTATTTGAATAAAGATTATTTTGACTTTGACTTTGGCGTAGTGGATAAGCCCGCAGCCCACGATCGTTGTCGTTAAGCAACTTTCGCAAGGGTCGGTCACGGGATTGGTGACCAAAAAAATATTATCTCGTGTTACTCCGTGCTTCGGAAGGCACGTTAAGTCGTTGGCCCGGCTGCATTTTCAGTCGTTAATACCCTCCAATCCGCATTGGGCCAGCGTGGAGGATCATGGCCCATCCTCCTTAACCATTCATAAGGAAGGCCTGAGTCCTTGCAGTAGGGACATAAAAGAGCTGATGATGATGATGAATAAAAAATAGATACGTTTGCCGTGCTTTTTTTATTTATTTGTTTGCTTAAGTAAAAAAAATATGTTGATACGTATATAGGTATAAAAGTACTCTTTGGATGTCATCTAGCACTTACCCATAGAGGAATAATATAGTTTGGGGTACACTTACCTTACCTTACGTATCGAGTTGGCATGGCAACTTTGCCCTAAATGTCAATGTCAATCGCACATGGTTCATTCGTTGGTTTTTCCTTTATTTCTGTGTTCATGGTGTTTTAAAATATATTCTAAATAGAACAAAATTATTGAGTTTTATTTAGATATATGTATTTGATCTTAGAATATTGGTGTTTTTTGTGTTTATTATTACTTGTTCAATGATATTTTTAGTTCAAAATGGTTTTAAACCTTAGTATTTACTAGTGTTTTTAATCTTAAACAATTTAATTGATGAAATCTGAACCATACTATTATAACAATGCAAGTATTTGAAATAGATAATGTAAAAATTTACAACCTCAGTGCAGGAAAGTCGTTGCCAGATGTAAGTTGTGTATTAACTAGTGTATTTTTATTTATTGTTACTGAACTCTATTCAAATCATATGCTTTTTATTGTAAAAAGGCTTAGTAATATATATATATTTTAGTGGCTGTCAGAGAGGAAAAAACGTGCTCTTTTAAAGAAAAATGTGGATTTAAGAAGAAGAGTTGAATTAATACAAGAGTTTGATATGCCTGGAGTGAGTACTACTTTAAGAGCATCTAAAGATGGACAATATATCATGGCTACAGGCATTTATAAACCGAGGATCAAGTGTTTTGATGTTAACAACCTGTCTTTGAAATTTGAAAGATGCTTGGATTCGGAAGTCGTCACATTTGAAATTTTAAGTGATGATTATTCAAAGGTTTATATTTAAATTGTATAAACATATTTTGATCCCGTTAATTGTATATCTAGTTACCAATTTTAAACTTTTTTACAGATTGTATTTCTGCAATGTGATCGCTACATTGAGTTTCATGTAGGCCATGGTCGCCATTATCGCTTGAGAGTTCCAAGATTTGGTAGAGATATAGCCTATCATAAACCATCCTGTGACCTATTTGTAGTTGGTGCTTCGTCTGTATGTTTTTTCATTTATTTTTATGTTATTTTGTCTGTGTGCATTGAAATCCTTATATTAATAAATTGATAATCTTTTAGGAAGTGTACAGATTAAATTTGGAATTAGGTCAATTTTTGGCACCATATGCTACAAAAGCAAATGAAATAAATGTATGTGCAATAAATGAAGACCATGGCTTACTCATCCTCGGTACTGGAAGTGGTCATGTTGAAGCTTGGGATCCTCGCACAAAATCTAAACAAGGAGTATTAGACTGTGCATTACATTGTACAGATTCTGAATATAGGTTTGTATTTGAATGATTACAGATTATAGATATATTTATTTTGAAATTATATTCAGAGTTATTAAAGAAAATTGTTTTGTTTTTAGAAATAGCAATGTTCCTGCTATTACTGCACTCCAGTTTGATGGTGCTTTGAAAATGGGTGTAGGCACATCTACTGGTCATGTTTTGTTGTACGACATAAGATCTAGCAAACCACTTTTAATAAAAGATCACATGAACGAAATACCCATAAAAAAATTGGAGTTTCACAAACAAATGGACTTTGTTTATTCAATGGATTCAACAGTTGTCAAGATATGGAATAAAAACACAGTATGTTAATAGCAGCTAACATGAACTCACTATAAACCTTCCTTTGTAATTTATAAAATATATATTACAAAACAAAAACTACAAATTATAAAGACCCATTTTAATATTGTAGAGCTTTTTTTGTGCATTAGCATTACATACATATATAATTCAAAGTGGATGATAAGGTTTTATATAACTCAGCTATACAAGCTTGCCTTAACATTATTTCAATATGATCTACATTACATAAATGTTATTTCAGGGAAAGCAATACACCAGCATTGAGTCATCAGTAGATTTTAATGATCTCTGCGTAATTCCAAATACTGGACTGAACATGATGGCAGTAGAAGATCAAAAAATGCAAATTTATTATATACCATCACTGGGTAAGATTAATGCTATTAGTGATTATAATTGAATAAAGTGGAGTACAGTTTAATTTAAATCTATTAATATAAGATTTTGTTAAATTATTTTTAAGATTACCAATTACATTCCTGAGGAAAGCATCTTAGGTTCAGATTGATGGCAGGCATTTTTTTCTCACTACAGCTATTATCTACCAATAACTAATAAGTTTACCTTTAACTACTATTCTGGTATTGAGAAAAAATGCCATTGTTCAACAATACTTTTCTCAGGAAACACACATAATCTTTTTTTAGTTTTTTATATTTAATAAAATAAAACTTTTTTTTATCTAAAAATACATTTAAAAAATGAATATGTATTTCTATTAAGTGACAATTGATCATAATGTAAAAGCAATGAAAATTATCTATATGGCTAAAGGTTTATAGTAAATTTTTTTGATAATATTCAATTTTTTGTTATCTCAATGCAATGCATATCTTTTATAGGGCCAGCTCCGAAATGGTGTGCATTTTTAGATAATTTAACAGAAGAGTTAGAGAGCTCAGCATCTCAAATTGTTTATGATGACTATAAATTTATTACAAAACAAGAATTGGAAGTACTTGGTTTGGATCATCTTCTCGGCACTAATCTGTTGAGAGCATATATGCATGGGTATGTTTTTTCTGTCTTTCATTATTTATTACTGTTTGTCTAATATTATATGCAAAGCTATTGAGCAAATCAACAGATCATAATGGGTATTAATTTATAAATTTGAAAACCATGGACATTCTGGTTTAGAAGTTTGTAGCCTGATATTAATGTCACTGTTTAATAAATTTTGTATAAATTTCTTTACCAGATATTTTGTGGATGTAAGACTTTATAAGAGAGCCAAATCTATAGCAGATCCATTCGCATTTGAGGAGTACAAGAAACGCAAAATTAGAGAAAAAATTGAGCAAGAAAGACCGTCTAGACTTAAAATTGAAGATAATCTACCTAAAGTTAACAGAGATTTGGCTTCACGTATTTTGGATGGTGAAGGACGGAAAAAGAAGCAAACTAACAGCTTACTAAGTGATGATAGATTTAAGGTAAGCATTCTTACTCTTTAAATAAAATTGATAGATGGTTATGAATGATATTCAAAGGAATATCAGTGATAATGAGAGCCAGGAACAGTAGACACAAATGACTTATTAATTTCGGATATTGTAAGCCCGAAGTATGACATCAGTTTTCTATTTTCAAGTATGGTATTGAATCAGTAAATTTATAGATACCACACCAAGAGAGTGCGCATCTCTGTCAGAAGTAAACTTGTTCATTGTAAGAAGAAAAAATGGAAAATTTTTTTGGGCACGCCTATATCATTTGGGAAATAATAATGTCCACTGTTTTTGTTGTAGTTTATCTTTAATAATGTGATTTATTTCATGTGTTTAGAATTGTTCGAGACATATTTGTATGTTGCGTTATTTCGGGACAGAAATATAACTATTTCATTCTAATTTATTGCATAATATTTTTAAAAAGGCGATTTTATTATGACCTTTAAAAGCGTTTTTATAAATTCTACTGACGTGATAGATTCTAATCAGCGTCGTGAATACGTGAACATAGTTTTCTAAAGGCTTATTGTCCTTGGAGCGGTCAGAAATATTATCGCTAGATATTTAGGATTTAATTCGATATTTAAGAATTCTCCTTTATGTAAATTTTGATGGTATAAAGGAAAATAAGTGTGACGGCATTGATGTGTTAAACCGAACGAACTAACGATGCAACAATTGGCTACTTGACTGTTTTGAGAAAATAATTTATTTTTATAATCATACAAAACTGCTATCTGATTTTCCTTGAAAAAGTGTTATTAAATAAAGAACATGAGTTCAGGTTGCACTCGTAATAAAAACGTTGACATTTAGTTTATTGAAATGTGCCGTCACACGGTTTCTTCATCATAGTTCTTGTAATCCATAGTCTATAAATCGCAAGTTAATTTTGAAAAATAAAATCTACTTACAATTTATTAAAATGCTATGTTTACATATTACATATAAGTTACCATTTCCAACATATTTCATAATTGATTGTTATAACTGTCAATTAGCCAATAACAAATAGTAAAAGTTAATAACGTTAAGACATATTTCAGGCAATGTTTGAGAATCCTGATTTTGAAGTGGACAAAAATGCAGACGAATACAGACTACTCAATCCAGTATTATCTAGATTGGATAAAGACAAATCCAAGAAATCTGAAATTGAACCTATGGAAGTGGTGAGTACAATACTTATTAGTTTAAGTTACTTATATGATATACTGTACATATTGTTTTTTAGGACTCTATAGTCAATATAGAACCCTTGGGTTTCGTTTCGCCATTGTCGTCCGTCTGTCTTAGTCATAAACTATTAGGCAATAAATTTCTTTAGTTAAATTTTGTTTAATAAAAAAGTAACATACTTGTATTTAATTCATATGGTTAATATCAATAACTTATACAAAACTCTAGCAAAAAAAATCCATACATGCTAAGAAGTCCATTTGAACATGTATGATTATTGCGCCATTCCAACGAAATTAGATGCATAGAGGGCAAATTGATTACCTCCATTTTTAAAGTCGGTTATAATATACACATATATAATAAAACAGGTAAATAGGGAACCCTATACTACGCGTGCGTCAATATGTACTCGGACTGTTTTATATTAAATATATGTACGTGCGATAAGCTGTGCAATTTGTTTTCGGTGTATTCAATAGGTAGGTTAAATAAGCCGCGGTTCGAATTTTCATATTGAATAAGCCGTATCAATTCTATTGCAGTGAACGATACAGTCCAGTCCAGTTATATTCAACCAGCTGCCCATTGAGCCTTTAATATTGGCCTACTTGAATTACAAATCAGTCAGCCAGATTGATAATTAAATTGTTCACATTATCACAATTAGCATAAAAACAAAAAAAAACTCTCGTTATAAACTATTATTTTCGTGAATAGAGTATGAGTGTTTATGTATGTTTATATTTTATATTACATATTTTATTATGAATTAAATAAATTGTGACCCCGCGATCGAAACCGTTTGTGGCCCCAGTTGTAAAAAGGTTGAATACAACTGGTATAAGTCTATAATTCAATGTGATGCTCAACTGGCATTGATTCACGCCTCATTGGTGAAATTTTTTAGCTATAGGTGCGTTAATCACTAAATAAAATAATAATTAATATGATCTTATTTTTATCGTTTTAAAGGTACAAGATAAAGAGGATTCTGATTCAGATCGTGAGTTATATAGTTTAAGCGAGGAGAGTTCAGATGAAGATAGATCTTGGATTAAAGAAGTAAAGAAACAGCACAAAATAATAAGACGCCAAAAAGAAGATCAATCAAACGAGCTAGATGAATCAGTTTTCGAAACACAGAGCACACCCAGAACTACAAATAGTATTAAGAACATTAATAGAGTGAGTAAAGCCAGTTTGGGCGACCGACTTGTTAGAGAAGGAGCTTCCACAATGGTTACCGGTACAGGTGGCAACAGGGAGATGAAGTTCACTATGAGAGGGAAAAAATCCGAAATCGATAAATATAAGAATAATAAAAAACATTACCAGGAACGTAAACAAATTGTAAGAAGAACGGGTTTCTTAACGAAAAAGAAAAAAATGTTATAATAAATAAAATGCTATGTTTTGTTTCTTGTGATGTACGAAATATATGTATATAATAAATACATAAGTTGTTTTGTTTACTTAAATAGATCAATAACATAAAAAATCATAGGTCTTTAATTTTTATTTATCGGAGTGTTGGGGTTATCATAGTTCATTATTCATTTCGAAACTTAATATTACACTTAATATTTATAATAGCCGTGCATTTGCCAAAAAGGTGTAATACTTTAAAATTTGAATCTTAATATATCAAAAATTGGATACAAAAGCAAACATATTTTGTTGTAAAAACTAACGGGCATCGTTCGCCGACACTGATATCGCTGAATCCGACAGTGAGAGCAGTAACATGTAATCAAGTAGGTATCCTATCAGTCTTTTTGTTATTGACGAACGTCTGACTACTATCGTGGTCAGCAGAAGCGCGCACTTTCCTTAATATTTAACAACATTAGCGCATAAAGGGGCAATGTGTGTAGTTTTATTGGGTACATAATAAGTATTTATAGAATAAGTATCTTTATTTAAATAATGCAAAACGATAATGCGTCGTACGGTAGCGGTAAGTACGTTTCATATGATATTTTTCTTCAATTACCGTCATTGTTTAGAAATTGTTTGTCGCACATTAAATAGTTATCGATTCGCTTAAAGTGCAATGAAGCAATTAATATAGATATGGGCAATAAATTGGTTAATGTGAATTTTTTAAATGATTGCATAGCCAGTGATCTACTGGACAGCCATGTACTGGGTAACGAGAAGCAACAAGAACCGAATATGGAAAGATCAGCAAGATCCAACATCGACGACAACAGTCTCGATGTGAGTACCTAATATTATTATGATTTATGTATCACATAATTAGGTACCACCATTAGGTACAATTTCTTTATCACTGATACAAATACTATAAAAATTAAATACTTTTACTTGCAATATGTAGTATCGATAACAAGTATCTATGAAAGATTAAATGGTTCATTACGAGGAATAACAATGTTTATATACATATAATACAAAGCGAGCCATGAATTGTTATATATTAATATCAGAGTAAAATAATTATATTGCATATAAATAAATTGAAAGTCGAACTTTAATATATTGTTGATAATTATTTTCTTTTCATAACTATTTGACAATTGATTATTTATTATTATTCCTTAATTATCTTTTTGTCATCCATCAAATTTATTATTGAAATAATGTACCTATTCAAAACATTGATTAACTGAAATTTATTCTATTAGAATTATGAGTTACGATTGATCTTATTCTAAAATAATAGTTATCAAAATTTCATTCGGTTGTAACTATTTTATTTACTGTTCCTTAGTAACGAGTCATGTAGAATAAACCGCTTCTAATACGCGCGTAATCCTGGACAGGGTCTAAAATCTTTAGTTTCCAAAATCTATGGGAATAAGCAACCTAAAGTTTGTTAAGAAAGAAACATTATCATAAAAATCATTTTTTATACAGACTAGTAGCTGCGAACTACTTCTAGTATAATGTTATATTTTCAGATTGGAGAAATTACAGAATCGCCAGAAACCGAATATATGAGCACTTCAGCCATTTTACATTATTGTAAATCGAAGGTAAACTATTATTTTTTTAATTATGGTATCCTAATTTATTTTACTCACTTTGTTGCACAAACGTCCCTTAAAAATAACATTAGTTTAAAGAAACATTAAACCTTAAGGCTCTTTACAAATTTTATATCATATCAAAACCTATTTTTGTATACACTTTTTATATAGTTAAGAAAGATGAAATATATTAGTCATAAGATTGAATAATTAAATTGCTTTAAAAAGTGGTTATAAAGTTATACCTCAATTTGATGGACGTTTGTGTAACTAGGTGTATCTATTGAAAAAATATATAGGTATCTACGTAATGATTGAGGTACATAGGTTTAAAAATGTAGAATGTTCCGACTCAAAAACTTTAAATACTTTTTAAAAATTAAATGTGTCTACATTTTATTTAACAAATACTGTAGAGGCTGTTAATAATATTTTCAAGTTTTTTTTCAGATATTATTACCATATTTAAAGCTGCTAACTATTATGGGCTTACGGCCTATAGTTGATGTTTCCAATTCTTCGAAATGTGCAATATTTCTTTCCCATTTTCATTCCGCTCAGGTAGCAGTGTTTATGATTCTGGGCTATATCCTTCAGTATATGGCTTGTTTCAGGTATTTCTTATTTCTCTTGCAGTCGTTTAATAGTATTGATATGCATTTCTCACTAATAATGTTTTATATTTTTTAGGCGCGATAGAGGTTTTTGCTATAAATTAGTACCTCTAGCTTTAACTTCGCCTTTAGAATACGATGCGTATAAACAAGTATGTTATGGAAATGTGACCCTTACCTACATTGGCCCCAGCGTATTACATTTCTTAGGGTTTGCATATGCTCTATATTTATTTCGGATTTCTGATAACGAGCAGCTGCAAAACTTAATGGAGAGAGTAAGTTAAACATTAGTAACCTATAGACACAATTAGTGATTTAACTTATTTAAAAATAAGGAAAAACATGTTTCTATTCATTAATTTGTCTTGTGACAACAGTCCGTTTCGAGGCATTTCGAGTCGTGACGACGATCTCAATAAACGTGAGTACTGGTTGAACACGCAACAAAGACGTGGACGTTTAGTTTATTGAAATGTGACGTCATACGATGCTCCGTCATGACCGCCCGCGCTTTGGTTCTTGTAATCAACAGAAAGAATAAATTGTAATAAATGCAAAATTAAAATATACTTGCAATTTGTTTCGCTATAACTGTTAAGTAGCCAATGCTATCAATGAAGTAGATGATTTTATTTTTAATTTTTTGTTTCAATAATTTATAACTATCATTTGTGAGAAAGATCTAGGAGACAATGCTTTTTAATTTGTCATATTTATTCCAAAGTATTTAAGTATACTATTGATGGTGCTTGAAAATGTAAGTAGATATATTATTGTTCCTATTTCGTCAGGTTTTCTTATCATCATCGTCGCCACCAGGAATGCCCACAAATAAACCGAAGCGTCTATTGCGTATGTTATGGTTCTTCATTATCCTGGGTGTGTTCTGGATGTGTTTGTCGCTGTGTTCAGTAAACTTAATGATCGCCAAAGGAGATATAATGTTCAAATGGGTCACTACAAGGTAAATAATAAATCAACATCACATACCAAATTTTATAATTAAACAAGAACATCCAGACTCGAGTCAATATAGAAAATAGATCCGATAAGGATTCGAACCCGATACTTTAGAAACGGCGTCACCTTGAAACCGGTGGGCGAATCACTAGACCCATAATCGTGGTCAAATATATAGATGTCTTGGTCATTTATTATACGTGAAATTCATCTATAGTAAGCTTTTATATTTACGTGCCCACTGCTGGGGCTCAGGCCTTCATTATAGGAGGATGGGCCATGACCCTCTGCTGCCCAATGTGGATTAAGGGTGTTAACTACAAATGCAGCCGGGACTAACGACTTAACGTGCCTGCCGAAGCACGTAGTAGCTCGAGATTTTTTGGTCATCCATCCCGTGATCGACCATTATGAAAGTTGCTTAATAACAACGATCGCGGGCCGTGGCGTATATCCACTATACCATCGAGCTATTCAGGGTGAGAGTAGTCTGTGTGAGAGTGAGAGTTCTTACTTCATTCAAATTATTATTTATTTGTTAAAAAATACATATTTGTCTAAGTTTAGACATTTTCTCAAGTAGGAATTACTGTCTTGACTTATAGATACGAGTGTGAGTGAGTGATTTTTCGCTTATAAATACAGTAAAAACTCCTTATTCCAGGAGGATACGATCCTTAACTATGTCGCGAATACAGAATACGAGATAGCATTTAGGTTCCAAAATAAAAGCAATATGTAAATATAAAATGATGTGCGTTTCTCAGTAACGAACTTAAAGATCATAATGATTGTATTCATTATGATCTTTAAATTCGGATTCATAACTAAGTAGCTGTAACATACATAATACCTATAACTTTTATAAAGTACTTTATGAATGCTACAATGGAGCAAAAATTACAAGGCGTTATAAAAGCTAACTTGACACATTCCCGAAGTATTTAAAAGATGAAGATGCATTGATAAACGAATCTGAATTCCTTTGTTACCGATTGCATCCGCGAATAATCAAAATTTAAGCCGCGACTACAGAAAAATATTTTTCACTTGCGAATAGGTAAGGAAGCCGTGAGCTTCTACTATATAAATAGTCAGTTGCACAAACGTCCATTAAAGTTTAATGACGCCTTTAAGCTCTCATGAATGACAAAATTGTAAGGGTAATGCCACTTTAAACTAATGACTATTTTAATGGACGTTTGTGCAACTAGCTGAAAGCTTTCTTATAGTTCCAGAGAGGTGTTGGTGACGTTGCGCGTAGCATTGGTGGCTTGCACGATGATACATGACATGGTGCAGGCCACCGCCCTCACCAGCTATTGTCTGCAGGCTCAGCTGCTGCAGGCACACCTTATGTTTCTCAGAGAGCGATTACTGCATCGCACTATAACTCCACTCCACTGGATGAGAGTGAGTCGTCGTATATACTTTACCTTGGTCTTTCGGGACCCTATTTCTGTGACCGATCGTATGGTTGACATAGGTAGAACGGGCCTTAGCCTAAAAAACAGGCCTAGTACGGATTGGTGGGTGTTAACGACTGCAATTTTTGGTCTTGCGAAAATTGCTTATTCTCGGCATTCTGACGTAAACGGCTTCCTCCATCACCATGCTTTATTGATATCTATATAAATGAATAAAATTTAAGTGTCTAATGTGTCATGTTTAATAAACGCATATGTATGTATACGCGGTACACACATATACCAAAATAACTTTTTTGTCTGTTCTTTGTTCCGGCTAATCTCTGAAACGGCTGGATCGATTTTGAAGGGAGTTTGGGACTCCAAGGGACTTATGCATTACATAGGAGTATCTTAGGCTACATTCCACGCCAAGTTTATTATATGAAAAAAATACATTAAATCTGTATTTTCTTATACATTGGGTTGACCCAAATTTATTGTTCGTTGGTTGGTGATTCAAAACAGATCAATGTTCAATCCCATTCATCTCAGGGTGCCAGGGACCAAGTGGATTTTTTAAGCATTTTGTATTAAGAATAATGTTCAATGCATTGTTTGAATCATAATTGAATCCAATTTCAAACAAGTCGAAGCTAATGCAGATACGCGGCGGCATGAGATTCAATGCCGTTACGGGCTCGGAAAACAGTTGGGAGGTTTCAGGAAATATCCGAGTTCCGGAAACTGTTAAAATATTTGAACGAGGAACTGGCGCCGGCTGTGTGCATGTTCACTATCGTGAACTTGTCGTGGGCGGCGTCGGGCGCGTTGTGGCTGTGCGGCGTGGACCGCGTGGACAACGCCGCTGAACCGATACTCGCCATCGCTATCCTGAACCAGGCACTATGGGTCATCGCGGTTGTTGCGCCCTTCGTACAGGTAACTATAGTAACGGGCCGTCCATTTATCACGTGATTTTTTCAACATTTTTTGACCCCCCCTCCCCCTTGGTGATACTCCATCCTTCAACCAAATCACGTATATTTAAAAAATAAATCAATTATAATTTTTGAAGAGGAAAAAAACTCGTGATATGTTACTAGACCCCCCCACCCCCCCTTATGATATTACGTGATTTTTGACGAATCCCTCCCCCCCTTTCGAGCCTCACGTGATTAATGGACGGCCCCTTAGTGGGGCTGGACATGGCGGGCTACTTGCCGGGTCCCGGGCACTTCCCCTTCCCTCCTCGGAGGGTACTCCCAGCGAGTTTTATCAGGTTGGCCGGCTTCGCTTAAGAGGAAGGTTTATATGTATAATATAGAACCATACGAGTAGCTAAAGAGCACAACACCCACACTCGAGACAATATAGAAAGTTCATTACTACATCCACCAGACCGGTAATCGAACTCGAGATTCTGAGATGACGACACTTGCCCTTTCTCAAGGTGTCCACAAAGTGGTCCCAAAGTTCATTAAAATGTCCAATAAATTGGTTCAGTAGTTTAAAACGCAGACTCACAGAGTTACTTTCGCATTATGTATATTTACACTATCAATTATTGATTATATCATAATTGAAAATTTCAACCATATCGGACACCCTTCAAATAGTGCCGTAATATATTTTTTAACACCTTTGCTCGTAAATCTGATGTTATTCCACCGGTTTTAAATATGTAAAGCAGCTCATAAAAAACGCGTGTATTACCAAAGCAAATAGTTAAGTTATAGTCCATACAAATTCCATAACAGTATTATTTGCCATTTCGCCAATGATATTAATATGTCTAGATACGCAATACATACCAAAAATCTGAAGCTACTAAAACTAAGACGTTTGTCTTAGTTTTTTCGTTTTGCACTTCATTACTCATTCAACTCCCGCCAAGAAAGTACAAAAAAATGCTCCGTAAAAACAAAGAAATACAGTAGATAAAATTCGATTCTCTTTCACAAATACACATAATACGAAATAATATTAAGGTTCACACTTAAGTCATTAACATTTTTGGCAATAAATACAAAATTAAAGCTAGGTTATAAAATAAAAATATTTATTTTTTTTCAAATAAAATTTCGACATTTTGCCGTCAGTGTTGCCACTGCTATTCACTTTCAATTTTCCCAAGTATATGGGAACCTTTTCTTTTTAATTAACGTGGCTATAATTTATCTAAATATCTTTTTATAATTAATCATATAGCTCAGCTTAAGTATAGGCAACTGCGCTAATTCTGTTGATAATTTTTTTATTCATGCACACAGATGCTAATGTAGTTTAATTTTTTCAATGCGTGGAATAATTCGTTAGTTGTCGAGATACAACTTTTGAAAATACGTAAAATTGTTTGTTTGATGTTTTATGAACTTTAACAAATGTTTTTGTCTTAACTTTTTTTTTAAACTTTTTTTTTCAAAGTTTTTGCAAAGAAATTTTCAAAGTTACAGTATTTTACTAATTGATTTTATACATATATCTACACTACTCGTTCATTCATTCATTCATCACAATGGGTGAAATTTTCGACAGCTGGCAATACAATATCAATTACCCATTTTTCCGTTCATTCTGTCGTTCGCACATATTCTGTCTTTGTTTAATTTAAAGTTTAATCGTAGATATGAGGGAGACAAATATAATAAATCTATTTATATTATATAGTATAAATATTATTTGCAAAGCTACGTCCTGATTTCGAAAAAGTGCTACGCTTTTTGGCGCGTCTGTTGTATGGGATTGCTTCTCTAGTTATTAAACTCATTGCATTTCGCGCGCTGTTGCTATTCAAATTTCGAAATTATCGCCGCGCGGCGCCTGTCAGTAGGCAGCGCTAGCGCGCTGTTAAAATGGCGGGAAAGCAACAGTGTACATTCACAGATTGAGTTTATTTAATGATTTTTTTTCTGTTTCCTCGCAAATGTGTTAAACACCGTAGTACGATGTATGTGCGAATTGGTTATAACGCACTAATATCGTAATGTACTATTATGAACTTGTCCTTTTCTAGGCGGCACGGCTGTCTAACGAATGCCGCAAGACTCGATCAATGGGACACGAATTATGCGTGCGCCCGTTCCTGCATCAGGACACGGCCCAAGAGGATATCATCACGGTCCTCATGTTCGCGTCCACTCTTCGTCTTCACGCGAAACTATTCCATTGCTCTATCGCTGGCCGATACGTCTGTCTGCTACTAGCTGTTACTGTTATCGTACTATTATCGTTAGGGATGTGCCATTATTTATAATAATGTAGTGTTTAGTATTATTTTAATTTTATTAAATAAAACCACAATTTTGTATTTTTATGAATTGTATATTTTTCATAAACACAATGTTTGGCACTACACTTAATAGTCACTATTTTATATTCTCTATAAAATACGTTACATAGTTTAATGTGATTTATATTTGAAGACATTGAACTATTTTATTGTAACAGCTAACGTTTCACTACAATATTTAAAATAAACCTCTGATAAATGAAATAGTGTCAAAGATGTTATTACAAATAATTCAAAACAAAGTTTTGAAACATTATATATTTAATGTAATTTTCTTAAAATTGATTAAAATTATTTGGAGAATTAGCACGGACTTTCATTTTTCCCGTTTTTTATTTAACAACGATATTTTTTAAACGGGGAAGTTATAACAAAAATATTTCGCTACTTAACATTGTCAATACATACATCACACTATCGGTGTGATCTACGAACCCTGGCAAATTTTCCCTATTACGTCACAACTGATTTATATAAGGACACAATGATCCATAACTCATTTCAAAATTCAAGGCGTTGCTGGACTGACGGACATTAGGTTGGTGACTTTTATTAATATCTAGTTTTCCGCCGCGGTTCTTTATTTTATATTACATTATTTTCAACTCTTTTCAAAATATTTTCTTAGCCGAACATCTAAGATGTATTTTAGTTATGTCAATTTTCAGCATCATTCGTCCAGTAGTTTGAATATTTTTTTTACAGTTTAATATCGTTAAGAAGTTCAAAATTTACAAAACGGGAAAATCAAAATGTAATTTAAGTAATGGACACAATTATTAAAATTTGGTGCACTGGTTATGAATAATCTATATACAGAATGAATGGCAGGTACATAAACCCTCAACATTTGATAGTAGCATTTTTTTACTGACTATTCATTATCTCCAAAATCTGTGAAAGAATTTTTTTTACTATAAAGTTATAGGGGTCGCAATATTTCCATCATGTATGCAACGAGATCTTTAAGCCAATTCTGATATTGTTTACGTAAAAATCGCATCTCAACTACTCGCATTTTGAAGATGAATATTATTATATATATCTGTCACCATTGATTGATTAGAAGACAACACTAAAAATATTGAACTTCAGGTAGATAGTAAAATGGCAAAATGGGAATAGTTGAGATTCTATTAACATGCTATTATTATTATAAAAAAATAAATAAATAAGCAGCAGGTTCATACAAAAGTATGTAGTATTTTTAAATGGTGCAACGGAAGCAGAAACAGAATCAGAAGTTAAAATTTAAGCAGAAACAGAAGTGTGAATACTATGAACTAAATAATAATAATAATTTTTGTTTTACTAAAAGTTAACTTCTACAGTTGCTGAATCGGAAGCAGAGGTCTGTTGGAACATAACGTTTAAGTTTGGGTTTAACAGTCACTTGCACAAATGTCCATTAAAATTGTCATTAGTTTAAAGCGATATCACCCATACAAAGCCGACATTAACCCTTAATGGATGTTTGTGCAAATGACCGTAAAAGTATAAGGTGAGTCACGTAGGGTAGTGTGAAAATTACCGGGCCATGGCAGAACCACGTTTAGCACCGGCAGTGAGTCTAGTCCTGGTGTGGATGCGCTACGGCGGCGGCGGTGAGTGTGGTGGTGGCAGCGCGCGCCCCCCACCAGGCGCGCACGTCGTGCAGCGCGGGCTGCGGCCGCGGCGCGCAGTTGTTGTGTGATGACTGAACAGTACGCGGGCCCACCTTCCCGACACCTTCGTATACAGTAATAATAATAACCTTTATCGGCATATCGATATGCAACACGAAAATGTGTATGTTACGCTTAAAGACCGATATCGCTCGTTGAGCGAAAAAATTGTTCACGACGCGTTGTGGCAATCGCAAAATAATCACATAGTGATATCCCTGTCGTGGTTGACATGCTATTCGACCTCAACGCCTTGTGGCAATGAAGGAAAGCCAAGACGCGCTCTAATCAATAAAAACATAGAAAAAACTAGGTGTTTCATTTTTCAATAGCGATTCGCTTCTAGCACTTCGCCGGCCCGCTCGCTTTGCTCGCTCGGCTCTTGGGTTGTTTGTCATACTCTAACCATTTATATTTTTTCTTTTTTTTTACGCTGAGAAATGCGTTACGCATACTCGCTACTTGTGCCCCCCCCCCTCGAAGGGGCTAGACAAGAAACAGGAGTATACCCACTAAACTCAGCGATATCCCTCGCATGGAAGGCGATGCACGGGATCGGCCCGGAGGCCATACACCGCGCGGTTCGCCCCCATTTCGGCCCGCCCTGAAAAGGGCAGGTCCCCCTCCTCACGGATTGGGAGTACACCTCAGAGATATTCGAGACGCACCTCCCAGACGAGGCGGAAGCGTGCAATGCCGACCGGCGCGCGAACCGGCAAGCTGCCCCCGACGAGAGACCGGTGATGCGCAACTGTTCATCTCCGGTCCCTTTTACCCATCTATTGGGAGGACCCACACAGATAGAGACCTTATCGTGGATCCCCCCCGGATGGTCGCGGCTACCATCGGAGTACGGCCCGACCACAGCCCTGAAAAGGGCGCTATCAGGCCTCGTCATACTCTAACCTAACTTAACCTGCATGGTTTGTTTGTTGCTATGTGGATATTTTATGACTATAACGCATTGTGAACTATTTTTTCGCTCAATGAGCGATTTCGATCTTTAAGCGTAACATTGTATATAACTTAATCTTAAGTAGTAAGTACATTTTTATGTGATTAAGTGTACACTAAGTAGCCGGTAGCATAGTGGATAAGGACCGCGGCCTGCGGTCGTAATTGCTAAGCAACTTTCGCAATGGTCGGTCACGGGATGTGTGACTAAAAATTATTATCGAGAGCCTATTCCGTGCTTTGAAAGGCACGTTAAGCTGTTGGTACCGGCTGCATTTGCAATCGTTAATACCCTTCAATCCGCATCGGGCCAGCATTAAGGGTCATAGCCTGTCCTCCATAACCATCCATGAGGAAGGTCTGAGCATTGTTTATTTTATAGCTGTCGCCTGTTTTCTCTTTTGTTAATACTGCAATTTTACATCTTAATAATTAGTATATCAGTGGAAATTTATAATTGGCTTTAAGCATGGGATTAGCCATCCATAAGCAAAATTGATAATACATTAAAATGTGAAAGTCTTACTTTGTGTTTTTTTATTCAATGCAGGATGTGGGTCGCTCAAGGTGGGCTGCAGATATGATTTCTTTCTTTCGGGACTCTCCGGTCTATGAATTAAAAATCAATCTTATATAAAATATATTTTGCATACGATCACTATAAATTTTAAAACGAAAATCCCCTCAGTATTATCACATCAGAAACGCTATGAGCTCAATAATTACCGAACGAATATACTTAATGAATCATAGTATTTAGGTACTAAATGAAGAAAATAAATGAGATAGGTTTATGTGTAGATTATTATTCAATTCTTTTTGAAACTGCCTTTATTATTACTATATATGCTTCTTTTACTTCATGTTTAAAGCTAGATTAGTAAAATAAGAATATTTGTTTACCTTGGTAAAGCTACGGACTGTAAACCAGTTCTTTTAAATGGGCCTTTAGTTGATGATCTTTTTGTCTGGGAGTCAAAAGACGAAATACCTGTAATATATTAAAGCTGTAATAGATTAAACCAGACAGATAAAGATTTAAGTTTTAATAAGCTGTTTTTAAATTACCGCTTTTTTGTTAAATATCAAACTGAAATAGGAAAATTGTTTATATATGATTTTAGAGCAAAAATTGCAATACATACATACAAATTTTTGTTGAAAACTTTTTGGTTAATTGAAAAAGAAAATGCAATAATATCTTTAAAAAAGCTGAATCGGCCTTCATATAAAAGTATTTTAGAGCAATTTTGGAAGCAGATTTCTCATTTGGGACTGCATTGTGTAAAATTACTTACTTGTCATGACGGGCTGCGATGCGGACTCTGTTATTTCTGTTCTACCTACATTAGCAACAGTTTGCTGAAATGAAACATAAAAATGGAATAAATACTGTGCAAGTATAATGGTGTATGTGACACTACTTTTAATACTTACGATACGATGTCATAATATGGATATGCCCACAGGTTTAGAATTTTATTCTTAATAAAAACTGATTCTTTGACAATACATACAGCTACACCAATCATTGCTTATTACAAACAGTATAGTAATTTACATTATTGAATGCGATTTTTATACCTGTGTCTCGGTCTCTGATTTCTCTTTGTCGAGTTTCTCCATATCAACAGCTTGTTCATTTGTTTTCCTTAGTCCCGCGATTAGACTAGTTTGTTGTTTCTGTGACAAAAATATGATGTAATTTTATGATTATTATTCTTTGCAAATGCTCTATTTTATATCTTCAATTAAGGCTGTAAATCCACTATAAACATTTTTTAATTTATCAGGGTAATTGTTTGTTTAAACATACTCACACTACTATTGGCTCGTATCTTCTTGAGACATCCTTCGAGCCAAGTACGTATAGTTTGTTTAGCCACTTCTTCTTCAATCAAGAACTCAAACTCTTCTCTGGCAAGCAATTCCTCCATCTGCAGCGACTTACGAATATCTACGGTGCGGTATGAAAGCATGCTGTGAAGATAAATTATTATGTAGAAGAAATAAATCTCACATTGATTTAGCTAATACAGAAAAATAGTGTTGTGAATTAAATTCGAACGGGTGCGTCAAGAGTTTAGTAACTAGACGTGTATGACGGGATCGTAGAAAACGTAGCTTGCAATGCTGCCCGCGGCGATATTTTTAAATACTTACATTTTTAATATTAACTTACATAAAAATTAATTATAGTATCATAAAAATCCGAAACAAGGAAGGTACCACAATCCCGGGCCGAAAACAATATAGAAAAGTTTTCTAATCTTGCTTAGAATATAACCCAACCTGTTAAAGATAGTGACTCATATTAAAACAAATTTTACTCGAAAGAGCTGAGACCGTTTAATTATCAGAAATTACTAAACTGTGACTAGAGACAAAACCATATGAGAAAATATACATCGGAGCATTAATCGGTGACTTTTTAAGCATTTTTTTTAAATATGTATATTTGTATTTATATTCATTTCGTAACTGAAAATTATGTTAAAAACAATCTGCGTGATGTAATGATTTACTTATTAGTTTTTTTTTTTAAAGAAAGTAGTTGTCAACATTTGTCTTGATGTATGTATATTACATATCGTACGCTGAGAACGATAGTGAAAATATGCAAAAAATGCGATTTTCAGTAATGAGCGTTTAAGGTTCAACAAATTGTAATCAGCCCCTCTAAACAACGTATCGTCACTACGCCACCTAGCAGTTTTTATGCAAGCTACGTTCACAGGGATCTTTGCATTTTAAAGTTTATACTTAATAAAGGAAAATATTGCCAAAGTTAAAAAATACATCGTTTTTAGTTTGTGACATTGTCATTATATCTCCTTAACCATCCATAAGGAAGGCCTGAGGCCCTGCAGTGGGGACGTAAAATGGCTGATGATGACAACTATGTGCTTACTTGATAACATCATGGAAAGTGACGTCTTCGCCGTTGTGTAGCCGTTCCAATTCATAGCACATGTACTTGAACAGCAGCCGCTCTTTGTGTGTGTCACATTCTAAACGACCTTTCAATAATCGAAGAATGATTTTTACCTAAAACAAGAAGAAGTTAACATAGTTTATGTTCTCTGAAAATATAAATACAATATTACGATAACTTACTTTTCGCACAGGTATTACTCCTTTTTGGTGTACGTCCACAATATTCCAAGTGTTCTGGAAGTTTCTTATGTCAGCATATGAAAGCAATGCATCTTCTTCATTTGAATAGAATAATGAAAAGTTCTCCATTATAATAGCTGCAACAAAGAAAGTAGAATTGATTACAAGGTGATCGCGATAAAGGTAACCGGAATACAGTCGGTAATTTATATCTTAAAATATTTATAATACAAAAATTTTAATTGATAACGTAGATCGTGCAAAAGTAGGCAGGTGAGGCTATGAAGTAGCCTTAAATATTCTTACACTGACCCACTAGCAAGTTGAATATATGTGAAGATGATGTAGAAAGTGCACAAGTAGTCGAGCGAGGCGAAGTTGCCTCAAATATTCTCATACTGATCCACTGGCAAGTTGAGTCGATGTCGTAGAAAGTGCAGAAGTAGCCGAGTGAGGCGAAGTTGCCCCAAATATTCTCATACTGACCCACTAGCAAGTTGAATATGACATATGTGATGATGACGTAGAAAGAGCAGAAGCAGCCGAGCGAGGCGAAGTTGCCCCAAATATTCTCATACTGACCCACTAGCAAGTTGAGTACGATGTATGTAATGATGACGTAGAAAGTGCAGAAGTATGCCAGCGAGGCGGTGAAGTTGCCACAATCTGTCTCCCAATAGTTATCAGCGGGTGTACAGTACGGCGGAGCTACCATACAGTCGTGCATAATTTTATTCCAGTCTTCGCCCGTCACTATACGGAACAGCATCGCCACGCTATGTATAGGCGAGTTGAAGTTCGCCCTCCTAAAATTACAAAAAATAATTATAAAATAAAATCTTATTTATTTATAAGTCTTAAGGTGTAAATTTACAATATGGCTGTATCGGAGAAAATCTGTCAGATAAAGCGTCAATCCATGTTTCGGGAAACATATTTATTACCACATGAATCTAATTCAGTCACAATATATAATTTAATCTTCATCAATTTTACTTTAAAGATAATAATAACATATAAAAGTACCTTCCGATTCCTTCACCATATTTGACGTTGCCGAAAACGATAGTCCCAGCTAGAGCGTAGAAGAAAACGAGCAGGAACATGCCGAATATAATGAAGAAACTCTTGCAGACGCTCACGCCGACCGTCAGCATTAGCATCTTGAGTGTGGTGTGCTTGCCAGTTATCGTGAAGAAGCGAAGAATCACCACCATGAATCCCACGAAGTAAGACAAGTCGTTCTAAAAATAAATCACACAAATTTGATCATGGGATTCGATTCTTGGTCGTTTGAAATTAAATTTTGATATAATGCCTCGAGTGTGGATGATTTGGTACTGTCATTTCTGATTTCCATAATAACGCTTTAGCTACTTAGTTTGGGATCTAAGCGAATGCGACGTTGTCTTATATTTTTTTTCGCAAAAATCGAAAGCCATTTTAAAAGCGTTGTTTTAATTCTCCGAATCAAAATAAAGGCGGCAGAGTTGCAACAGACAGCTCTCAGGGGCTGTCCACCTACCCTCGATTTATTTATATTTGTCCAAGTTAAGGAAAGGTAGATAGGCGGATGAGTTAAGTTGTGTTACCATATTCAATACTTTGTCATTGAGAGCGTGATATGGACCAGTATATTATTATAGTACCTTGAGTATAAAATGCATGAAGATCCATATACAGCCGGCGATGGTAACCAGTAAATCGTAACGATTGCGACGACTCTGCCAATAGCCACGAGGGGTAAACGCGATCGTCTTCAGCAACACTTCCACAACGAACACTAGCGTTAAAAGCGCCGAAGTCAACGCCAAGTATTCCGTGTACGGCGAGTACCGCGACCACTATCGATTAGAGATAATGCGTTATTATAATTTAAATGGGAAAATTAATAAGTGATTCTTGACTATAGTCCTAAGTATGAGTACTTGATGCCAGTTTTTATAAAAATACCACTCTACAAAAATTTTATGTCTTAAACGTTAAGTCCAATATCGAACGACGTTTTTAATAAATGATTAGTCTTTAAATCATCTCTTATTTTAGTATATAGTAAAAATCGCATTCCTACAAAATTACGGAATTTGTGAACAGTAAGCAAAAATAGATAGACCCATTTTAGAAAAGAAAACTTGTATTTTAATATGGATAAACCGGAATTCGGTGGACGCAGTTTGATTCATGATATTATAAAACTTAAAAAAAAATACCAGCAATATACTACATACACATCCCAGGATCTAAGCATATCCATATTAAGATTACATGTCCTAACTAGCAGGGTTCGTAATAATCCGATAAATATCTGACAATTATCCACAGTTATTGGAACAATTTTTAAAATACAGAAAGACATTTATAATTGAAAAAACATTTATATTTTTGTTTTAAATTATGAAAAATAAACAAAAAAATATTTGTGAAATCACATTGAACATAAATTAAATAAATAAATAAAAAAGGGGCTATAAATTTTTTTTTATTTGTAGATCCATCCTAATCAATTTTCTCTATCAGAAAACCCACATTTGATAGATGTTTTAAATGATTCCCCTTTAATAACAAGTCCTAAAGTACAAAAAGAGTTTGTGTTTTATAATTATCAAGGTATATTTATCAAGATAACTATCGTGATAACTATCACTAAACCCTGGCAAAAATAGCTTTAACTATTCTAGTTACCCCTTATTAACTAATGACAAGTTCACTTACTGTAACTGCTAATAGTGCACTGTTTATTAGTACTACAAAGGCTATGACTCTTTTGAAGATTAAGTTTTGTGTAACATCATAGGCGAAGGCGCGTACTTTTCTCTTGTTAGGTCTCGGAGGTAGGTGAAGAGGCTGTGCAATTTTCAACCTTTTTTTTAAATCACACCTGCAAAAATTACCAAGATAAGTGTTTCTTTGTACGTATATTAACATTATAGAGATAAATAGAAACCAGGAGGTCTGAAAAATTACTTTTTCATAACTACTGACAAAGAGCTAGTACTTTTGTTTCTTTAATCAAAATAAACATAATTACCATCGTCGTTGGTCTACCGTCAATAAGGCTGTGCCTTTATTTTCTGAATAATTGGCAATCACCACACCCACGAAGAGAGTCAATCCGATCATACATCCGAGGAAAATGTAGACGTGTATGTACAAAGCATGTACCTGAAAATTTTATAGATTCTCGATCGGTATGAACATACTACTTTAAATCATATATTAAGTAAGTATTATTTACATAAACATTAAACATTTGATATATAAATATCAAATCAATATTATTTTTAACGAGTGTGTGATTTATCAATTTTTCATTCACAATGAAATACTGAAAAATATATACTGAAAGATATTATTAATGAAAAATGCTTAAAAATTCACTTAATCCCAGGCACTCTGAGATGGGATTCGAACCCATGACTTGTAGTAGCGAAAAAATAACAAGTGTTTGAAAAGTTCGTCAATCCAGTACTGTAGCTCAGTGGTTACAGCAGTCGGATTGCGGAAGGTCATGGGTTCAAGTCTCATCTCAGATTGTCAGGGTCGAAGCGGGTTTTTTTAATATTTTTCATTAAAAATATTTTAAGATTATGATTTTTGAAATTATCCATTTCATATAAAAGCAAGTTCAGTGATAGATAATCTTGAAATTTCAAACTTACTGGACCTAACGCCTTGATAAGAACATCACGAACATCCAACCATCCTTTAAATGAGAGCACTTCGAATAAAGTAAGGAGTGCGTCACCGATATTGTCAAAGTTGAATCGTTTCGGATTAGCCCTAAAATATTAAAATAGTTAAGTAAGTAAAATAATATGATAAAAAAAGGGTACTTGGTATATTATAATCATCATCACCAGCCCTTTTACGTACCCACGGCAGGGGCTCAGGCCTTCCTTATGGATGGTTAAGGAGGATGGGACATGACCCTCCACGCTGGCCCAAATTGGAGGGTATTAACGACTGCAAATACAACCGGGATCAACGGCTTAACGTGCCTTCCGAAGCACGAAGTAGCTCGAGATAATAATTTTTTGGTCACCCATCCTGTGACCGACCCTTGCGAAAGTTGCTTAACAACAATAATCGCCGGCCGCGGCGCTTATTCTATACGCCACCGAGCTACTACTTGGTATATAGTTCTTTTCCCTCGCCTTCGCAACGTAAATTAGTCTCTGTTGCCCGCGTATGATAACCACTTCTCGTAGGTGAAAGATTTTTTAAAATCGTTCCAGTTGTTTAGGGACCTATTAAATTCGGACATACAATCAAGTCTTTCCTCCTTATAATATTAACATACATGAAAGGATACACAGAAATGTTCACATATTTAGCCGGACATCCAGATGTTTTAGTTCACACCATGCAAATTGTTAAGTATGTCAACTGAAAGTAATGTAGCGTGTGTTGTATGATTTTAATCATTCAATGAGTGATACTTATTTATTGATAACTAGCTTTCCTTAAGGAACTGTTTATTTGGATATCGAGTCATATCATGGTACGGGTATAATAAACAATGGTTACTATGGCAACGTTGAAATTCCCCAAACAAACTCCCGATAATCCCTTTATTTGCTGTTTTTCCGGATATAAATATAGCCTATGTTCACCGCATACGATATAGCTACCCGTAGGTGAAAGATTTTTTTAAATCCGTCTAGTAATCTCGAAGCCTATTCGACGCAAAGAAACAAATAAACAATCAAATGTTTACTCTTTATAATATCGGGTTGGCACAAAAGTAATGAGACACTTGGTTTAAGTTTTTACTTTATTATTATTATTACAATAAAAAAAGTCTAGTCAATGATGTAATTACCATTAGTATCTAAGACTTCTTGCCAACGATCCGGCAAAGTTTGGATGCCTTTTGTCCAGAACTCTGATGGCTGTGCCTCGAAAAAGTTGTTCAACTCCGCCTCTACGTCAGAGAAATCATTAAATTGTTTACCCCGCAAATACTCTTTCAGGGCTCTAAACAAATGATAGTCTGATGGGGCGAGGTCTGGGGAATAAGGTGGGTGGGGTATCGTCTCCCAGCCCAAGTTCTCCAACTGTGGGCGAACCACAGATGCGACGTGAGGTCGAACGTTATCGTGCAGTAAAACTACATTGACTCGTCTTCGTCGTTTTTTCTTGATAACGGCAGATAATTTGGTAATCTGGGTTGAATATTTGTCAGCGTTTCTAGTTTCATTGTGTAATAGCTCATAAAACAGTATGCCTTGCGCATCCCAGAAACAGCAAAGCAGAATTTTTCGGCGGTTCGTTTGACTCGGCTTCGGTTGAGTTGGTGGCGTTTCTTCTCGAGGCAGCCAAAAAGCACGACGTGTATCGTTCTCGTAACAAATCCATGATTCATCTCCAGTAACCAGATCTGACAAAAACTCTTTACGTCGGGGTCGCAGCAAAAGTGACTGACAGATAGCGACACGGACTGCACGACTGGCGTCTGTTAGGATGTGCGGTACCCACCGAGCCAAAACTTTTCGATAACCAAGCTCATGCAGATGGTGTTCCACGGCGTGGTGACTGCATTTAAGTGCTTCCGCTAATTCACGAGTGGTAGCATCCGGATTCAACTGCAGTTCGCGGCGCAAATCGTCATCATTCACTGCGGGTGGTCGCCCTGAGCGTTGCTGACTTTCAAGGCTCCTGTCTCCTGATTTAAAACGGTCAAACCATCGGGACACCGTCGCATGGCTTGTACTTCCAGCGCCTTATGCATTGTTGATATTGTCAGCCACAGCCCGCGCACTGTGGCCTAACAAGTACTCGTATAAGTATAGTGTTCGAACTTGTCGTTCGTCCATTTTTCTTCAAACTGACTAAACAAATCGCGAGCGCGGCTTTATATACCCTACACCAGAAGTACCTAGAATGTTCTACAACATTCTAGAATATTATCGAAAAAAATGATTTTAAAAAGGAAATGTTATAGATTTTTCTAGTGTGTCTCATTACTTTTGTGCCAACCCAATATAAATATCTAATACAGTTGTGTAAGTTACAAAAGTAGATTAAAAAAGTGGAACCACTTTATAATATAGACAAATATGTTACACCCATTTATCGTCAGTTAAAATTTCCATCTAACTCTGAAAAACACATACCAGACTCTAGGTACTAGCATAGACGGGAACGTCTCGTTAGGGCCGGGTCTTAGTTTCATCTTGGTGACGAATACGCGCCGCATGAATACACCGACGCAGTCCTCACGGCGGGTTATAGTTGGATCGTTGCAACGCGCCAGTCTAAAGTCAAATTAAATCTAAGTATGTATGTACTTTATAATTGTAACATTGTTAAAAAAAACATAAGCTGCATTTAATATTCAAATAATTTAGTTCTGGGTAATTAAAAAAACAATCACAAAGAAATATACAAACCTGCCGCCATAAAGCTGAACGCCGTAGCTTGCGAATACGAACATCAGTAGAATCAAAAGTGTCGATACCTGAGCAAAAAAATTTTTATATAATTCGATTCAATAATGTCTGATTCTCTATGACAATTAAGATTTTACACTTCAATCTTATCACGCGAAAACCACGTCAATATCACATCTTGTTTTAACCAAGTCACTGTAAGGAATCTGCTGAATCATTCTATTGCGTATGGTCCAAGGTGTATCTACCAACGGGCGGCGTTATTTTCAGCGCTGGTACGGGCAAACATATTAGAACGCCGTCGTTTTTTAAAACTTGGGTAGCAAGTGCATTCTGCACGATTTCAGAGTGTGGAATTTTTAAGTTTCATATCGTGCAGTAATCATGCGTTTTCCACGAGGTTTTATATGATGTGCAAAGACAATATAAATATTGCAAATGTCTTATTTTAATATGATATTGAAGCGGTTTAGAAGCAACGGTATAGATAAGTGGACATAGTTTAGGCTATACAAAACTGTCAAAATTCTCCACCTGATTATAAAACTTAATGCATTGAGAGTGAATTCAAAATCGACTGTAGAAATATAGCATATAGTGATAACCTTACTAATCTGCTGTGTGTGGAAATTGATCAAATAGTAATATATTGATAAAGAAATAATCACATAAATATTTTTAGGTCTCATAGTCAAACTCTTCAAAAAACTCAAGCGAGTGCCGGTACTCAGATTTTTAAGCGATACGAAATGTATATTAGGTAAATGATTGTTTTTACAAGCAGTATCTCCTTGAAGCCGCGGCACAATTCGTAGACGACCTTGCGCATATGCGGCACTAGCGTGAATATGCGGAGCGGCCGCACGCATCGCAGAATCATCAGCATTTGTGCTGCTGAACCCGGCGGTACGCGTACCGGCATCCAACATAGAAATGTCAGCGACACCTAAAGAAAACATTACGGCTAAGGTGATGTGACACTTGGTAGTTAATTCAGAGTCCTTTAGCGCTAGGAGAAATGCGTTACAGCATTCCCGCTCCCCGCAGCAGGTTCTCTGCGAACCCGTCTCCATATGCAGGGGCATACCCACTAATGGCTGGTTTACAATGATATAGTTGACAAGTAGTTAACTAAATTGTAGTGTCAATCAACCGTTAAAAATTAAATTAACAGTTTAGTTAATTATTAATTTTAATAGTTTTAAACAATTATCAACTTCATCCGTGTAAACAAACCATTCAATCTAACAATGTCCCTCTCCATGCAGGCGATGCATGGGGCTGCCCCACTACTAACCGCGCCCCTTTCGCTTCCATTTAAGTCCAACCTATTGCAGGGCGGATCCCTCTGCAGGTTGGGAATATGATTCAGAAACATCGATTCATACACCCCAGACAGGGCGAAGACGTGCAATGTCCAGTTAGGTTTGCCATCCTATTGTGATTGACCTCGTGTGTATACATGGCCACAAAATGAAACAAGCCGGGACCAAAAGCTCGATATTATAAATTTTTTGCATTGCAAACGTTTAAGTGTTTAATATTAAGCAACCTGTTGAGTAAATCTTAGCTTATGTCACCCATATATGAGCTTCCCGTAGGTGAAAGAATTATTAAAATTAGTTTAGTAGTTTAGGAGCCTATTTGATGCGAATAAATTATAAAACTCTTCCATTTTATACTGTTAGTGTAGATTGCATCGGATAAATTAAAAAAACACTATGATTTTTTTTTAAATATAACTGAAATAAACTCACAATATATATGAAGACATCCAATACCGCAGCAGCATCTTTGAGGTAAGCTTTGGGCGTGAAAAATAGGCCATCGGCTAGAATTTTTAGAGCCAATTCTAGACTCATGAAAATAACAAAACCATACTCTGCAATCTGAAAAGATTTTGAAGTATAATTTTTATTTTGTACATCATATTTTTTACATCTATTTAACATATCAAATACTTGTTTGTGTTTTTTTTTGTTAAAATACCTGAAGAACGAAGTTTTCCATAACTCGATAAGTTGGCGTTTCAAACATCATTGAGAGACAAGAGAGAGTAGTAACCATTATCATCACCCAATCCATATATGTTACCAGACCCAAGAAGTTACTGAAATAAGATTAAAATTTAATGACTAACACAATAATGCGAAATAAAAATAAATATTTATTAATTCTTGATTAATAAAGCAGAATTAACTATATAAGCCACTACAATGTGGTATCTAAAAGCTAGTTTTTAAAGCTGCACTAAAACTGTATGATTAAATAGCAATAATCGAACCGTAGTTAGCTGTCAAGTCTACTGTGTTTATCATACTATGACTTCTATAATTAAGAAATATGTAAAAAAAATATATGGAACAAAGCCACTAGTCCACTACTGACAACTACTATGTCCCTAATTAAAGATTGCTGCATATGGGGTATATTTTAAGGGAAGTTTAATTGTTTATAACTTTATACAGCAACTAGCTTTCCGCCAGCGGCTTCGTCTGCGTGGTCCCTAGGGAACTGTTTATTTGGATATCGATTCATATCATCGACAAGTTGAATAGTAAACAATCGTTACTATGGTAACGTTTTAATTCCCTTTACAAATTTCCACTCCCATATCTATCCCTTTATTTGTTGTTTTACGGAATAAAATAAAGCCTATGTTCACCGCATATGACGTAGCTTCCCAAAAGTGTAAGAATCTTTAAAATCGGTCTAGTAGTTTCCGAGTCTATTCGTTGCAAACAAACAATCAAATTTTTCCTCTTTATTAGTATAGAAGTATAGATAATGTACTCTAGAACCTCTGTAAATCGATTACAACAAAGCCTATCAATGTGTGTGTTTTAAATGGTAATATAATTTTTCATATCACATAACAGATAAAACTAACTTGTAGTGGACAAAGACCATTATAAAAGCGAAAACAAATAAATAAATTTTTATAGTTGAATGCATTATAATTGATTACTTTTTAGCGAAATCATTGTTCACATACTGGAAACTCTTGTAGTGAACTTTTCTCTCGTTGCCAGTGACGGGATCTCTCAGGCGTGCGTCATAACGTGCGTCAACTATTGCACGACATATTTTTCTGAAGCGCGATTCCCGCGGCACTATTAGTAATGGAGTATCAAACAGTGGATGATTTTCACGCAAGTCTTCCTCTCGTTGATTTCTTCAAAACAAAATGTGGTCAATAAAAATTGATAAGAAATTTGCAGTTTAACTACGGAAAACTTAATTCAATTTATTATAGCGATGTGGTTAGCGTGTTTTGTTGTAGCAGACGTTAAACAGGAAAGCTTAGAAAGTCAGCTAGTTTGTACAGATGATTGGAGAAACAATCATTGTCCTAAGCGGTTTATTGGAAATGAAGACAGGTCTTTTACACCAGATGCAAACCGGATACTGACCACGATCCTCAGTCATGAGAGACCGACTAAGAGAGAGAAACGGTTGATCTCGGTTGCATCTGCATTCGTTACAGGGTTGGTGATGGTAATGTGTGTTAGCGATATTATAATATCATATATAGTAAATTCCAACTGGTTGAAATTTACTAAATATACCGGGGTTTGAATTCGGAGCATCAAAACCGGAGTTGTTTTTAGCACATGAATTAGGTGCTAAAAACTACTCCGATTCCGATTTCGTGTTATTATGAATATTGTATATTAGTATCAGGTTTATTTTATCGCTTGAAAAGCTTCATCATTTATATGCGAGCAAATGATATATACACTAACGACAAGGAGAAATAATAGAGTAATGTTTGATATCAACATTTTTAAGTTGAACTGCTGATCGAAGTTTTTAACTCGTTTAGGTAAAAGTAGGTATTAAATATGCATTAAATCATCATACGTCTGGACTGTGACATGTTCAATTATAGTGTATTAATAATTGGAGTGTGTGCGTGTATGCTGGGGACAATTTTTGACATCGTATTAGTACTAACATGACCTGTCTACCCTTTATTATTGAGAATCATTGCCTACAAACCCAACATAATTTTAGAAATTCATACGAACTGTTTCGATTTTTTTTATGTTAGTTTTTTTATTTATACCATCTACCTACCTTCTAATCAAGCCTAATAACACAACTAATACTTCTTACATTAAGAATCTTCGTTTACCAATTCCGAGGTTGACCAAATGTACTGTTACAATTTATAACGAATCTTATTTCAATAACCTTACAACGGATTAAGTTACCATGTCACTCGCACTCAGCAGGAGTTAGGCGTGTGAACATTGGTTGGCATGTTCTAAAGAATAAAAACCCCTTAAAAATTAAAAGAATTAAAAAAAAAAAAAAACATTGGTGGATCGCCCGATGGTGTGATACTTGAATCATTCTATGGGCTAACTGTCTAATTTTAAAATCTATCGTAATTCCTTCCAAAGGTAAGCGATTTAAGGAATAAAGTAATGTTAAAAGTTGCAATTGCTTTTGGAACGAATAATATGTGATCAAAAATCATAAAACAACCTTAGTTCGTCGTAAAATTACAGTTAGCATTCAACTCTTTCGTTTGACATTCCTCAATAGCTTTCAAAGATATTTGTGCCTAAATCTTGTATAAGACAATTCTAATTAATGAACTCTGTTTTTCAAACTGGCTGTGATTGGCTAACATTGCCACGCTTTATTCCGGTTTCAACATCAGTGAGCAACTTCAGTTGTATGTTACTATAATATAGTATCTAAACCACAATACAAGCTTAGTGAAAACATTATTAATGCATTTAAACACTTACCGTCTCATTTCTGCCTGCTGTCTTTTGGCTTGAAGCAGTCTTATATCCAAGTAAGGAGGCCGAGCTCGTGATGACGGAACCACTCGCGATGCTGCACCTATATCTCCGTTTTCAAGCAAATGTTCGTATGTCTGCTTAAGCTTTATAGATCCACTCCGCACTGATCTCCTTATGGAACGAGAACCAAACCTAAAAGATAAAAGTGTAATATTTCTTCTTTCATTGCGTTATCAATCTGGCCACAAGAAATGGCTTGATACTGGTATGAACATTAAACAGTAATGTTATTGGGTGAAAACTACAAGAAAATGATTCAGAAATACTAATTCAATAACTCAAAGATGATTAGAGACAGTATAAATTGGAATTAGCTTACTTCTTTTGATCGACACGCAGTTGTTTGGCACTAGATATGGTTCCCTGTGACTTCAAACCTGACTTGCCAGCGGTTGCTAGCATAGCAGAATCGCCTAACAGAGGCCGATGGTTATTAGAATCACTAAAATCAAATTTAATACATTTAGTGATTACAATCAAAACATTAGTAGAAAAAGCATTATATATAAGTGGTTTAAAAAAATAAAATAAAAAACAAAACCTGATCAACAGCAAGTTTCATGAAATAAACCAAAGCAAATAATTCCTGAAATCAAAAGAAATCATAAATTAAAAATAAATACCTGTTAAGAAATAAATAAAATAAGTCAGAATATTTGTGCAACATACTCTATGATCGTAGAAACGACATGTCTCCTCAACGCTGAGCTAGGTCTTTGCGAAGGTGGTGCCACGACAAGAGTTTTCACGAGGCACCTCTTTCTGTATGGGAATGCTATTTTGCCTACGCCGATGTACTCGAAGGCTCGCCGGGATAAGTTCACAGTACGAGCCCCCACGGGCCCGCCGCCCACTACACCCACTTCCTCTTCACCATCCTCACATACGAACTGCCGCATGAAAGATTCTCGTACCTGTATATAATTATCTTTGCTTACAATAATTGAAGTTAGTCAAATCAAGTGCTGTTTGCATTATGCATTCTTTTCACGGGATAAGGATTGGATGGATTTCGATTAGACATAGATACATTTAATCCTAAACAGTTTGTCTAATATATAAGATTCAAAAACTCATAAATTAGCACATATAGTTACATTGATAAGATACTAGTACGCTTTTTTCCCAAATATAACAATTCCGAAGTTCAAATGCTGCAATAGCTAGTAAATATAGACAGAATACGAAAGTTTTCTAATCCTAATGTAACAAATTGGTTCTAACAAGAATTTAATCTATAATATTTAATTTTGGAATATATTACATAGTCAAGATATGGTATTGTTAATAACCTTTGGTAGATTGAAATCTCCGGGTACTTTATGAAGTTTCGTCATTTGAGGGCTGTCTGGAAACTTCTCAAATATCCTCAGTCTGAATGGCAGACTTTCTTTAATTTCAGCACTCTGTTGACGATATCTCAGTTGCTTGAGTTTTTTAATATCTTCATCCAACTCCAAATTATCCAAGATAACTGCTACGAAAAGCGAGAGCACGATCTATAATAAAAAAAACTCAATATGAATACAGTAAGCAAAATAAAAAATATATAATTCGTTAAAAAATAATTGGTTTCTTACCAATGTGACAAACAAGTGATACAATATAAAATAAATAGCAACCAAAGGAGTCAGCGTTTGGCTTGTTCGCACCATTGTTTCATCCATGACTTCGACCCATGCTTCTTGAGTTAATATTTGAAACATAGACATGAAGGCCTAAAATATTACAAATTTATTGACAACTGTTATAATTATAATTTTAAATCTAATGAAAAGATTATAAAAATCATTACCTCAGGGAATGTTTCAAATTTGGTAAATTCACAAAGGAAACAGAAGAGTTGCATGGAAATTGAGGAGCTTATAATAAGCAAGCACATGGTAAAAATTATGAGACTGCCAAGCTTTTTGCCTGGACCAAAAATCTTGTAGACAAAACCTTCTAATAGTGGCGAAGCTTTAATTAACCTCACGATGCGGAGTACCTATAATAAACAGTATTTGTTAGTTCAGATTCAAGATAACATTAGATAAAAATTTCAATTATAAATCACCCATTTTAATATTACCTGAAAGTATGTAAATACAGACATATACAACTGAGGAATTATATGAATAGTAGTGCCGATAGCTAGCAACAGTTCAAACTTATGAACAGAATGCTTGAAATAACCTTTTAACCCTAAACACCAAATTTTTATCAATGCTTCCAAATCCAAAAAAATTGTGAAGGCAATCTGAAATACAAAAAATATCTTTTAAATAATGAAACTGTAATTACAGCAATTAATTAAAATAAAATATATATATATACGTGCCTCAATGTAATAATACTTTTCGTAAAAGAACTCCCGGGGATTACCATCATGCTTGAAGTTCATTGTGGCAGTTATAATTCCATTCGCCAGCACTACCCCCATAACCAAAAGACGAAAATAGGCAGAACGTAACATTTTATGAAATATTTCTGGAGCACTGCCTGCAATATTATGTAAAGAAATATCACTAATGTAAACTAATTAAATTCTTCTTTCTCATTAGCTATATGGGTAAGGATCAATCATTAAATAGATCAATTAGTTTTTATTGTGATCGAACAAATGTATGCTTTTCTAATCTATTTGAAATAAAATATTGGAATAACCATAAAAGAAATAAATGTTTGTTAATAAAATCAGGGTTCAGAGTGATAAATATCGTTGATAATGATCGCGATAACAATCACGATAATTATCTTGATATTAATAAAACACTACATAAACTCTTTTTGTGCTTTAGGACTTGTTATTAACCCGCGAGCACTCGCGTTATGAGAATTTTGCTCACAGCAAATTTGAAACACGTTATTATACGTTATTTTTATTATAGATGAATCGAAGAGATGAAAGAATTTTGGCGTGGTTGATGGAAGAAGATTCGGAGGAAGACATTGAGGTTCCGTCTTTTAGGGCCGATGATATTGAAAGCGATCGAAGCAGTGAATCACAGTCATCATTTCACTGATACTAAACAATCTTCATCAGAAGTAGAAGGTGAGGTTTCTTATATACCCACATCAGAAAAATTAAGGATCAATTTTCAAGGGAGACAGATTGCAAATAAATTCATATTGTAGAACTAAAAGCATTAGTGGTATTTTATACACGGCTGGTATAAAAAAATGAATCACTTAAATTTGAAAGAGATGTGGGACGAAGATGGTACGGCTCCTGATATTTTTAGAGCTGCAATGAGCCGCAATAATTTCCTTTTTTTGATGAGAGCTATAAGGTTTGATGATATAAACGCTCGCTCGGAAAGGGCAAAGTATGATAATATTGCTCCAATTCGTGATTTATTCGAATCTTTTGTCGCAAAGTGTCGAGCCAATTACCAGGTTGGAGAAAACGTCACTATAGACGAAATGCTGGAATCGTTCCGAAGACGATGCAAATGCCGTATGTATATAGCAAACAAATCAGCTAAGTATGGTATAAAAGTATAGGTTTATGTGATTCAAAAAATTTTATACAAGTAACTTAGAAATTTACCCGGGGAAGCAACCAAACGGTCCATACAAATATGATAATACTGCATCTGCAGTTGTAAAACGTTTATCACAAGATATTCTGAATACAGGCAGAAATATTACATTGATACCACTGGCTGATGAATTATTAGCTGCACGGACTACTATCTACTGACTACTGACTAGTGTACCTACACACTCAGAAAGAATAAGAGAGAAATTCCACCATTTTTTCTTGACATCAAACAAAGACCAAAACCTAGTAGTAGCTTTGGTTTTCACAAGGGCAAGGTTTTGGTGTCTTACGTTCCAAACAAAAAGAACAAGAAAAATGTTCTAAGAAATAAGTACACTTCATAACGATGACCGAATCGATTCAACTGCCGGCGTTAACGCAAAACTCGAAATTATTACTTACTATAACCAAACAAAAGGAGGCTTTGATGTTGTGGATCGACTAAAAGAAGAATATTCTGTTGCAAGGGTAGCATGTAGATGGCCGCTGAGATTATTTTTCACGATCCTAAATATAGCCGGAATCAACAGTCAAATCATTTACAAGGAAAACACGAATATAGTCATAACGCGCAGAGATTACTTGAAACGACTAGCTCTTCAACTAATACAGCCGCATATTCAAAGAAGAAGCACCTTGAAAAACATTGCATATCCTCTACAGCAAGTGATTAAACATTTTGTACCAGATTCTGAGATATCAGGACAAGAAAAACCAAATGGGGTCTGCGCGGTTTGTCCAAGGCGCAACAACCGCAATACCAAAAAGTGCTGCATTTACTGCCAAAAATTTTTATGTAACGAGCATAGTCATACATTATGTGATATGTGTAAAGCTCGTATATATGATGAGGATTAATTATTCCTACAAATCTAAGTTTTTGTTTGAGAACATTTTAATTTGTTTATTTTTTTCCGCAAGACTGCCTTAGAAGACTGGTAAATTAGTTAGTATGATTGTTAATTAAAATAAAAAATATTACTGTTGAAAAGGTTCGAAGTATATGTTTTTTACATTAAATAAAGTGTATTTTATTTAATTCAATAAAAATATTACTTGGTCAAACCTGCATTTAATAACATTTATAAACGTGAGCAAAATGCTCTATACGCGAAAGCTCGTGTGATTTCTAACGGCGCGGGTGCTGGCGGGTTAAAAGGGGATAATAAAAAAAAACTATCAAATATGTTTTCTTCTGATAGAGAAAATTGTCTACCTACAAAGACAAAAAAAAATTAAAGCCCTCTTTTATAAATTTTGTTTTATTTATGTTTTCATTACACTTTTTGTTCAATGTGTTTTCACAGGTAATTTTTTGTTTAATTTTTATCATTTAAAACAACAAAAATAAATATTTATTCAATTATGAATTTCTGTTTTAAAAATTGTTGCCAGTAACTACAGATAATTACCAGATATTTATCGAATGATTATCCAAAAAATATAGATAATTACGAAATTTACCTGAATGTTTGTTTTCATCAATTGTTACAAGTTTCCAACCATTGTCATCACCAGTGAAAAACTGAGTAGTGCTCCCTTTAGTTATTGGATTCCTCACACCCCACATCTGTTGAAACTGAACCCTTATCTCATTGAATGTTTCTGTAATTACAGCTATGAAAACATTCTTAACCAACCATGCCAAGAAAAAGATCATTGTGCTGAAAATAATAAAAATATATTTAAAGCTAAACAATTGTGCATATATATAATACCTTCATATTTATAATATATTTTATAATATAGGTACAAGTCAAACAAATCTCACCTAAAGTATAGTGCTGATCTCCAAGTGGGCAAGGAATCAATAGCCCGATACATAATGAACACCCAACCCTCTTGTGAAGATGCTTGGTATACAGTAAACAGACTGGTAGCTGTAATCCAAAAGAAACAGAAATAAGACTGCCATCTAACATACTTAAGATAACATTGAAAGAAAAAAATCTATAAAAGAACTATAAACCAAATTACCAAATTCCTCAAATCCATTGAAGCCCATTATATATTTTGACAGGTTTAGTTTCATGCATGTCATGCCTGCCGGACATTGGTATCCTGAATCAGGGTCAGGAGAACAAAATGTATCAGGAATAGCCAAAGAATTTATTGTAATCTCACTGAAAATAAATTTTTGATATTATGACTATGAGTTCTACTTATAATCAAAGCACTTTTGGTAATCTACAATGAAATGTGATTTAAATATGTAGAATTATTCATGAATACATTATTATGCTTACTTTGGATTGGTAGTGTTTCTTACACAATGATGAGTGAGTTCTCCAAAGAACTGAACCCCTAATAAGCTATACAATGACATGAAGAATAGGAAGAAGAGGGTCACATTATATATCTGTTGGCTTGATCTCCTGCAAAGCAAATGGTTTGTATGAAGTTTACAAATATTATAAATCAGCAAAGAACATGATTTTATTAATAAGTTTGAGGCACTTATACAAATACAGATGTAGTGTATTGTAAGTATAGAACTGTAATAGTGGCATTTCTGTTGCACTGACTTGACTAGACTAATATGATTTCGATTCAATCAAATTGCATTGTTTTTTATTATAGTACATTGGAGGAGCAATGGAATGAAACTTAAATTAAAATTAGAAATTTTGTGAACAATTAAGAGAGTAACAAACCAAAAATGGCATCAACATCTGTAGTTTCTAGTTATGACTATTTCCTATACCATTAATACATGCCATGGCAGTTAGTAAATAAAATAACAAATAAACATAAGTCACATATGATTTGTAAATAGCATTTTAATGTGTGCATGTTTTTAAAGTTGTCCTAATAAATAAATGTCATGGACAATAAATGAAAACTTTTGCTGTCATTTAGTATTCCAATTTATTCACAATTATTGTACATGTTATATGAATGATAATGTGGGGCTCAATGAATAAGTTACTCATTTCTTTGTAAAACAAGAGTTAGAAATGTGTAGCAAAATAAATTATTATTATTATATTTCATCATTTCACATTCACAATGATATACTGAAAAATATTCTTAATGATTTTTCATTAAGAATATTTTTAAAAATCCATCTTGTGGTGGCAGATTTTTTAAGCATTTTTTATCAAGAATTAACAATAATGCATTGTACAGTTACAGGAATAGGACTGAGAAAACTTAAGATGCCAACCATACTAATAACTATTACAGTTGTTATAAATGAAAAGAAATTAACAGGAACTTACTTGAATATTTGGTTAATTCTTGATTTTGGCATAGAAAATTTTAAGAACACCCTCAAAAATCTAATCATAATCAATGGTCTCGGGGCTCTTAATATACTTAAATAACTGTATCTCGGCACAATTGCAGTCAGTTCAAACATTTGTAGCAGAACAGATACCCAAAGGAAAAACACCATGGAAGCATCAAATTGGCACCAGTGATCTTTTAAATATGCTACATCACCCTTGAAAAAATATTAATACATAAATATATTTCAATTTTAAAATTTTCTATATTCAGAAAAGTATTATCATTTAGCCTAAATATACCTTAAGGATTCCTCTTATATGCATTTTGGCAATCATTTCAGCAGTAAACAATAAAGTAACACAGCAATCAACAGCAAATGTAGCTGTTTGCAGGTATGGATATTTTTCAAACGATTTAGGTGTATTCAATGATACTGATAATAAACTCAAAAGTGCACAGGATCTCAATATTCTTCTAACCCATAACTGAAATGTATAAATACAATTTGTCAACTGGCACTATAAGACAGGGTGTAGTTTAAGTTTAGTGAACTAACAAAACTTTTTGAAAAAAATTTTTTTCTTTTTTTTATGAAAATTGTAATGGATTTTAGTCTTCATTACCCTCACGATCACTGACCTTATTAACCCATTCTATATCAGCACTTTCATTCAATGACTCTTCTGGGCCATAATCTGCTAAAACGGGCTCTCCTTTCAAGCTCTGCTTCCGCCCCAACATTTTTATGCGTTTGAAGATAATTTTTGAAACTATGTAAAACAATCAACAAAATGAAATCTTTGCGCTATATACTTTCTTATTAAATTTGTAGGAATTTCATGGAAATGCATTATTTATCCAACACAACGCAATTAATAATTAGAAAATATAAAATACAAATACTTAATCAAAACAGAATAACCAAGAACAACCATTGATATATTTTTTTAATGTTTAACGGCCTCGGCTTTACCATCTTGGCTAACATTACAAGTTTCGAAAAATTTTAGAATTCCTGAATGTATCCATCACTAATTCATTGAACTATGGAAATAAGTAGTATTAGTATGTGTTTGAGATCAGAACTACTGATCTTATGGTATTAGTCTTTTAAATATATTTTGGAACAACATCATTTAATTTTTGCTATTTTGATTTGAGTGATTGTGACTTTATGAATGACACCCGATGAGGGGTAGTCTGGTACGTTACCATAGTAACTGAAAGGAATTGTCATTTGTAAACAAAACTTGAAAAGTGAAATTAAAGAAAATCGAAAGGTTTTATTGAGTTCGAGAAATAAACTGTATTATGCTACGAAGAATATGTTAGAAAATACAAGTAACATAGTTGTGTAAAAGTAGCCATAAAAATAATTCAAATATGTTTATTTATATGAGCAAAAAGGTGTCTTTTGAATAATATTATTTTTTCTCTGTTATATATATGTTTGTTAAACGGTTATAGTACTAATAAAAAAAACCGTTTCAGATCGCTATACCAAAACAATCGAATGTAACATGTTTATCATGGAACCACTCATCTGGTTATATTGCTGTTGGTGGAGAAGATGGAATGCTAAAAGTTTTGAAGTTGGAATCAGGTTCAATTAATTGTTAAAGTATATTTTTATAATTTTCAACTAATTAAATTGTCAGGTAGATAATAGTTTTTATCTATGAATTTCAGGTGGAGGTGGCAATCTTTCCATGAATCTTAGTTTGGAGGGCCACACTGGACAACTTTGTGTTACTATATGGAATGAAGTATTCCAAAAATTAACAACAAGTGATGAACATGGTGTTATAATAGTATGGATGCTCTATAAGGTACAAAAATATAAAAAAAAAATTGTATTTCAATGGACCTAACCCAGAAACATGGGCCATTGTGTTACCCTTTTTTTGTCATTCTATTTGAAGAAAAAGTATAAATTTTATGAAATAAAATAATAAGTTTGTACAATAAGATATTCTATTGTGAAAAATTAAAATACAAAAGGAGTGTTTAATTATTTTCCAATAAATAGGTAAATAAAATCCTATTTATTTATTATTAGGGATCGTGGTATGAAGAAATGATAAACAACAGAAATAAGTCTACAGTGACTGGGATGGCATGGGGATCAGACGGACAGAAAATCTGCATAGCATATGAAGATGGTAAATAATAGTCTTCTAATTACTTGAAGTATAAAAGTAAAATTATACCTTCATTGTGTATGTGCAAATATGATGATGAACTAGCAAGGCAGATCTTGCTTATAATTCAAATTGTTTTAAAAATGAGTGTAAGTACACATGCTAACAAATATCTTCTCACACTCCATTGTGACATGGATAACATACATAACTAAAATTATAAGAATAGAGCACAGGGACTAAAAAAAATGGCTATTTGCATTATTCCAAAAAATGCTGACACATTTAGCCAAGATTCAATCATCTAAACTAGATTGAAGGCCATTAAAAAAAAAAATTAAAGAGCTCTCGAAACTCAACAGAACAAATATGCATACAGTTGTATAAGCCTAAACTGGACACTACACTGTGCTGGACAAACAGACATCTAATTCACATTAAGTGAAACTGAAAATTGGACATATTGCAAACAGCCCACCTGTGAATGTGGACCACTGATTCATAAACAAAGCTTACATCTGGGACCACACATAACCAGTCCAGACAACATAAAAGCTCTAAAAGCCAGGAATATCAGGAGGGTACCATGCTGAAAGAGCGACAATAGGTGGTGGCGATTCATAATCGATCTATTAGGTTGCAGCAACTGCAATTCCATAAGGAGCTACATACGAATAATACCCCTTAAAATACGAATAAGAATAATCTGCAAACATATTACTAAAAGTATTGTTATTAATTTAGGTGCTGTAATAGTTGGTTCAGTTGATGGCTCCAGGGTCTGGGGCAAAGATATTAAAGGACCAGGTCTATCAGCTGTACAATGGTCACCTGACAATTCTCTTTTACTCTTTGCATTGTCTAATGGGGAGTTACATTTATATGATGACCAGGGTAACTTTACAGTAAGTTGTTCACATCAATTTTATGACTGATTTAATGTTTACTATCAAGTATTATGATTCGTGCATGTTTTAGATGCCAGTTTCCATTAATGGTGTGTCAGGGTCAATGGAAGTAGTATCAATGGATTGGTACTCTGGAAGTGCACCAGTTAATAGGCCTATTCTTGCAATATGTTACAGAAACGGCATAATAATATTAATGAAGAATTGTATAGAAGAAGGTAGAGTGCCTTATAACTTTTCAAAAATGTGATAAAAATTTAAATATTGTTTATTTGAACATTATTTAAAATTTGTACACTTATTATTACAGATAGTGTTGTAGTAGAAACTAATATGACTTCAATAGACTGTCATTGGAATCATAATGGTACTATATTAGCTGCAGCTGGTTGCACTAATGACCAAGTAAATGTTGTCCAGTTCTTCAGTGCTTATGGAGAGGTATTTAGTTAATATTTGATATAGTTAATGTGCCTATATATTATATTTAAAAGGCTTTATTAGTAAACATTGTGTAGATAAACAGTGCTTTTTAATTTTTGCTTGAACTTAAAGTTCATTAGAATGACAGTGCTATGTTTTACTAAATAAAAGTTACAAACTACTTATTAGTAAGAAAAGAGATTAATTTCATTTTAACTTACAGCACATACGCACATTGCGAGTACCCGGTGGCTCACTCAGAGCATTATCTTGGGAGAAGAGATCACTGCGTTTAGCTATCGCTATAGATTCATTCATTTATTTTGCAAATGTTAAACCAGATCATAAATATGCGTTTTATGGAAATACTTTATCATTTGTTTCTGGTACTGAAACTGTGACTTTCTGGGATACTGTTACTCATCAGGTTAGTTGATAACATTTTAAACACGTCACGCCATAATCAGATTGGTGCAGATGTAGCCTTTACCAATAGTTAAATTTACTTTCTTAAGGACAGAGGAGGTCACGTAAACAAATGTTAAGTCACCCATCCAATGACCGGCCGTCGTGAAAGTTGCTTAACATCCTCAATCATAAATCTACAGTGTCATTAAAGCTCTTTTTAACAAAGGCGAAAGTTTGATAATTTAGAAAATCAAGATAAACATGGAAACATGGTTTTCAAAAAAAAAAGTCGACTACACTTGCCGCCTTTGACATAATTAACGAAATATTACAAAGTATTAACAAAAGCATATATACAACAGTTATTTTCTTTGATATGTCAAAGGCATTTGATTTCGTTTCTCATGAACAACTACTAAAAAAATTATATAACAATAGTATCAGAGGTACAGCTTTAAATTGAATTAAAACATATTTACAAAATAGAATGCAATCTGTTGAATTAAGCAAATTAGATTCCAAGGGCATAAATCGAAAGTATCAATGAGAATTAAAAGTAAAAAACATTGGAGTTCCACAAGGCAGTGTTCTCTGACCTCTTATTTTGGTGTATATTAACGACCTACCAAATGTAACTACACATAAAAGTATTTTATTTGCTGATGATATATCAGTGGTAGTGACGCACAATAATAATATGAAAATTTCTGACCACGAAAACGACATAAATAACACAATAATGACCATATTAAACTGCCTTAAATTCCATAATCTGACAATAAATATAGACAAGACATATTTTATGAATTTTAATAATTTAATTTCTAATAACTTGATTATTAAATACCAAAAATGCACGCTTGAAGAAACTGATAACGTTAGATTATTAGGCATAACTATTGATAAGAAACTAGATTGGAAACAACATGCAGAAATCGTTTGTGATAAGATAAATAGCTTCTCATTTGCATTATTTAAATTATCGAGAGTAGCGACAAGAAATACGACTCTCACAGCATACTTCGCTTATGTGGAGTCAATTTTATGTTATGCAATTATTATTTGGGGCAATGGTACAGATGCGCAAAGGGTATTTATTGCTCATATAAAATGCATAAGATCCATATGTGGTATCGCACCCGACGTCTCATGTAAGCAATGGTTTAAATTTCTTGGTATTCTACTTCTTCCTTGCTTATATATATTTGAAGCAGCGAAATTTGTCAAACGATGTCCTGATTATTACAAAATAGCTCGAGAAGTGTATCCCAGGAACACTAGAAATAAAAATAGGCTAGTTCTTGACATAGTCCCAAAAAGCGCGCGATTTAAAAATAACTGCTACTGTATGTGTCAAACAATATTTAATAAAATTCCGGAATCTATAAAGAATACACCTTTTACTAGATTTAAGAGAGAGTTATATAACTGGCTTGCTGAGCGTTCCTTTTATTCGTTGCAAGAGTTCTAGACTGTAGAAACTGAACGGTAGCCTGGGTGGATTAATCAGTGCTTATAGTAACTTCTTTTACTACATTTGCATGCTATTGTTAATGCCTGAATAGGCGATAATTGTATTACCTTTTACATCTCTTTGGTATACCCTATTCAAACGCAAATAAATTATTATTTTTATAATTTAGGCGACGCGAAGCGAAGATGAATGGGTTATGATTTTAGCCGGTATGTATGTATGTGAGAATGTTCATCTGTTCCCTTATAACTCATTGTAACTGGACAAATCATAGAGGTATAATTAGAATTGTCTTAGTTGTCCGCGTGCTTTATAGGCCAGGCTCTAGAGAGCATTGAGGAAGAAATAAAAAAGAAAATTAATATAGACAGGGCTGTATGGACCTAACCTTCTTCTGGCCGTCGCAAACAATGGGGACAAATGAACCAGAAAAATATGTATATTAATCAACCATTCCGTGTAGGAATTGTCCTGTACTGTCCTTTGGTCATCGCTATTAATATAGCTATCGCTATAAAATAAATTTCTTGTTTTAGACTTTTTAGAACGTTATTTAGCTCTAGTCGGGTTTACTTTTTGAACTTATTTTTTATATTTAATATACTAAACTAATAATATCATTTCATCAAAGTTTTAATGGGATTTTTTATTTCAAACAATAAAGTGTAATATAGATACAATAAAACAGTCAAGTTGAAAACCTATTGTTATTTTTTTAAATAAACCACTGTAAATAGATTCTAATACCAAGTTGAAGTTGCGGGCAAAAGCTAAAATAGCCACTAAAAGCAGTCGCCAATAATGATATGGACGTCCTCTTGGTATTTACGGGTATTGTGAACACAAACAGGCTTCTATAATATTTATTTATTTTATCCAATTCCATCAAATTTAAATTTAAGTCTTAACACATTGAACTTAAGGTTGGAAATCAATTGCAAAGAATTTCATATATTTTTTTTAATTTGTTTAATATTTCTCATTCGAAGTCATGGATTAACCACATACCCGACGTGATTGATATGTGTGGAATCGATGAGTACTGCGTTATAGCCACAGCGAGTACAATCATAATATCAAATCAACAAGGTATACAATGCGATGGTAAGTAAATATTCTAATCTAAACTTTAATTGTAGTAATGTCTTTAAAGTGATTTTATATATATTTATTTCATTTTTCTCAGCAAAAACATCATCTATACCTGTTCTCTATGTAGGAATTAATAGTAAAGCTGTAGTTGTTGCGGCTTCTAAAGAATCTTTCATTGTATGGAAATTTTCTACACCGTCCAGGCCAAGTAAGTTCTGTGTTTATATTCATACTTTTTTAACTTCTGGAACCTTCGGAGCTTAGGTAATGATTGGGAAAAATAGTGCTTCGCCCATAAAGTTAGCATAAAATTAGAAATTCCCTAATAAATTTTGAATATGATAAATTACTACTGCTTTTATTTAAAAGCAGTAGTAAATAAATTGCGTTGTTTATTTTCACTGAGTTTTTAGTCCAGATTATACCTACGTTTTTTTTTTCTAGAAATATATATGCACTTTTTGATAGGTTCTAAGGTTCTATCGCCGAATAAGGCCTCCGTTTTTACCCTTGGATTGCCAAAAAAGGCCGCAAAAAGCCACCTAGAATACGTCTCTGTTACAGTCTTTAATCTACTGATCTATTCTATTATATCTCGAGTTTTCGAAAAGAAGTTTGTTATTGGTTTTATTGGGTGATTTTGGCACGTCGTCGTTCTGGGTGTCGCCACATCTGTGGTCACGGGTTCGATTCCTGGTCAGGTCAATGTGGAAATTTGACTTTATTGTCTCGGGTCTGAGTGTTGTGGTACCTTCGTTGTCTTAAATACTCCATAATAGGTGGGTTTTAGCTAACTCATATTGGAATTCGAGCAATTACGTGGTGTTGTCTAATATTTATTTATCATATGATTTACCGTAACAAACAAATGATAAGTCTTATAATAAGGCGACAGTATCTTGTCTTGTTACTCTCTTTAATGTTTCATTATTTTATGATTTATAACTTCACTTTACTACACAAATGTCTACTTACCTATTAGTAAATATTTATAAATATCATTTCCAATAATTTTAGAAAGTACTGAACATATGTACCAGGCAGACGGATCACCTATGACTTCTAATAGTGGTTTCCAAGACGATACAATATGTTGCATCACGTGTTCTGACAGCCATTTACTGCTTGGGCGAGATTCTGGAATTATTCTACTCTTCTCACTAATTAATTTGAAGAAAATAACATCAATAAATATGAATTCCAAACCATACAAATTGGGATTAAACTCAAATTCCAGGTGATAATTATTGCATATTCGTATACTTTTATACATTTCAATCGAGTTATCTGTTCTATTTACGAGTAGTTCAAAAGTTTCCGAGTAAGAAATCTAAGTCTTCTTAAGAGTACTATACTTAATATGTAATTTGTATTTTTTTTTTATTTCAGTAAATTCTTTGTGATTGACCAACCCGGGTCATTGTACCTTTTAGATACTGAAATGGCTAACAATATAAGTGTAGGTCAAGCTCTACGTAAGGACGTTTGGAGTGCGTTATGGGCATCCGATAACCCACAGATGTTGGCGGTGGCCGAAAAGGCGAGGCTCTATGTATTCAGAGATAATGAGCCTGAGGAGCCGCTTACTATGCAAGGTTACTTGTGCAAGTTCAAAGTTAGTAGCTTCCAAAATTTTGTCTTTAGTATTTTATCATCAGATTATTGAGGCAGAAGTCTTTTTAGTGAAAAGAAACCCTTGTTTTTTAGAAAGCTTTCTTTTTTTTCTTGCTTATTTCATTTAATATTTTTCTTAATTGTAGGAATTAGAGATAACAACGGCTCTTTTAGATAATATAACGGATAAGTGTACCCCTCAGCATATTGTGCGCGTTGAAGTGAAATCGCTGCGTGATACGCGACAGCTGATAGAAAAAGTTGGTCTGAAGGAGGCTGAAAATTTCATCAAAGATAATCCGCATCCCCAACTATGGTAAAATATTTAGTTCCTATTTCTTTAATATATAAAATCACCACCGCGTTTGCGGGACCCTCGTCAACTTGTAGGATAAGATAGCAAATCGGACGGTTGTAATTAATTAGAAAGTTAGTTAATTAACTTTCTTTTACATCCGATAACAAGCCATTAAAAGATGTGTTTATTGTAAATACATCTATTATTTTTTCAAACTTATATCTAACATAGTTGGTAAACGTTTTATAGTATAGGTATAAGCGGTGGGACGGAGAGGCGGAGGTGCTATCATTATTCAGTACTGCATTGTACACACGGCTGCAAGTCAGGTTACCACAATATGTCAAATTTCTGAAAAGGGTTTCGACCTCTACTCTTAAAATATTAAGGTTTTAAATCGGGTGGTGAATTTGACAGTTTTGTAAAGTCTGAATTGCTGGTGATTGTAGTTCGCAGCATCAACACTCGTTGAATGATGATGTCAAGATGATTCCGACTATTCTCTGGATGCGAAGTACTCGGTGGGTGTAACGCAATCTATCGCAGCGCTCATAGTGACCAAAAGTAAAAACATTTCGAGCTTTGTCATCTGTCATACCATACTTTGTACCTACTTGTATTTCTTTTCATTAAATTAATGTAAAAACTTTTGTTATTAATTATTTATAATATAATATAAAATACCTAAAATTATTCAGAGAGAGTAAAATCTATACTACAGCCAAATGCAATGAAGAATGTTTACTAACAAAGTGTTGCTTAGCAACCAGTAACAGGCAGATATGAATGACCTTTCTAATTATATTTATTCCATTTTATCTATTTTTTTAATTTTATGTGCAATGTATTAAGATTACAAGGAACACGTCATGGGTAAACAAAAACTTGTGAAAATCCAAATGTTTTATTTATAACTATTACTTCTTATATAAACTTGCTATTTATAAATAATGCAATCAATTCACAATGCTATAAATGCTATAGACACATATGAAATAAAATCTTTTTGTCGTTTTAAACAGTCGAAAGAAATACCGAAATTTCATACGGGGTCGGATTACATTATACGATCGATTGTTTTACGATACGAATATTTTTTACGATAATAGACAACTGTAGTAGTCGTCCTCTTGTCGACCCCGCGGTGATGCTCTCACGTCGTTTTACACTGGTCGTCAGCAGGTGTTCGCCGGTGGGGGGGGTGGAAGCGGAGAGGTGATGTGGTTTTATAATGAAATACGGTTGACTGAATATCTGACGTGTACTTGGAAACTACTACTATATACAGTTTGTAGAATGCAGACTCAGTTCCGTGTCTCACAAGCGTGAAAGCGCGGTGCTAAGTGCTGTGCTTATCGGAAGACGTCCAGATACAGTCCCAAGAGCTTGGAAGCAGTCCCGGAGCGAATGCCGATGGTTAGGAAGGAATGAATTTACAAAGCAAATCTTAAGTATTTAAACAACTGAGAAAAATCTTAACACCGTGATTCAGGCAAATAGTAAACAACGCAGCTAGCGCCATCTGTTGATCGCCCTGGTAAATAGTCGTCGTTTCCTTATTGTGTTACAGACTCCCCCTCTGTCTCCGATAGGCGTCCCGACAAGGAGACAGGAATTTATTATCGGATGTTCTTTCTCGGGCGACCCCGTCCACGCTTTTGTTGTGACATTGTGTTCGGAGGGACTGGTTTCTTTGGACGTCCTCTTTTCTTTAGAGGACAGACTGGTTCATAGTCATTGAGCAAGTTTCCAGAAAATCGTTGCAGTGCAGAGGTATGATATACCCCAAGAGAAGTGTTTCGATCTTTTAAATTAACGATTTCATAAGAAGATGGCCCATGCCTTCTTTTGATCATGTAGGGTCCATCTCGGCGTGGAGAAAACTTTGAGCTCATCCCTCTAGATGCTTTGCTTATTGGATGTAAAGTAACCATCACAAGGTCACCTATCTGATACTCTGGTGCATTATGTCTACTTTGGTCTACATAGTCCTTTCTCTTTTCTTCTTTCATTTCTTGTACTTCTTTAACTCTTTCCATAGTTGTGGCTAACTGTAATAACTTTGGGGTGATTTCGGGAATAAAGTTTTCAGACATAAGTATCTGACGAAAGTCATGCCAATTATCATCTAATGTTTTCAACTCTCTTCCAAATGTCAAGAAAGCAGGACTCACGTTTGTAGAACTACATTGAGCCGTGTTCATGGCGAATCGGATACACGGAAGTTGGTTAGGCCAGTCACGATGCTGATCTCCCAAAATAATTGCTAACTGCGTTTTTAAATCTCGATTGCGTCTCTCGACAGGATTTGTCTCCGGATGATAGACTGGAGTGAAGGCATGCTTAATCTTCATGCAAAAGGCAATTTGTTGCATTACAGCACTTACAAATTGGGTGCCGTTATCACTAATCATGCGTCTCGGGAAGCCATATCGCAGGAAGATTTCATTAATCAAAGTAAGTGCACAATTTTCAGCCGTCGCGGTCTCCAATGCAAATAATTCAATCCATCTTGACGTTACGTCCTCTACTATCAGCACCCATGTCAAACCAGTAACTGAAACGGGTAACGGCCCAAATAGATCGAAGGCGAGAACCTCAAAGCGTTGATTCATAACAGTCGTTTGTAACAACCCTGCAGGCTTTTGGTTGGATATTTTATATCTTTGACAATCGGCACAATTCTTTATGTAGCCATCTATGTATTTACGCATGCCAGTCCAAAAGTAACGTTTTGAGATACTTTGATAGGTTTTCTCACTGCCATAATGTCCCGCCAAAGGACTGTCGTGGTATGTTGAAAGCACGTTTGCCCATTCATGTTCTGGAACCACCAATTGAGCATCGTCACAATCCACATCAGGATTGTTTCTGTATAGGAGTCCATTATTAAGGAAGTAACCTTTATTGCTCCAATAGTACGAGTCCTCAGTCCTAGTTTCATCTTCTAATGCGGTTACTATTTTCGAGATTCTACTATCTTTCATTTGTTGCGTTCGTACACTACTTGTGCTTCTTAAAGGCATATCAACAACTACACTGCATATGTTGCAATGGTCTTTATTTTCAATTGTGCATGGGGGTCTGGAGAGCGTATCTGCCACGACATTCGTTCGTCCAGGGGTGTATTTTATAGTAATATCATACGCCTGGAGTTGAAGAGCCCATCGAGCCAATCTTCCGGTTGGAGACTTCAGAGACATAAGCCATCTCAGCGCTTGGTGGTCCGTGACTATTGTGGTTGGTGTGCCATCTATATATCCTGCAAATTTTGTAACAGCCCAGACGACGGCAAGCGCTTCTTTCTCTGTTGTACTATAGTTGCGCTCTGCTGGGGAAAGCAAGCGACTGGCGTATTCTACGGGATGTTCCTCGGCTCCCTCCCCCTGCACTAAAACTGCCCCTAAGGCATAGTTGCTCGCATCTGTTTTCAAAATATATGGTTTAGAAGAATCAGCTTGTTTTAAAATAGGTGCACTAGTGAGTAACGCTTTCAAATCCCCATACGCTTTGTTTTGCTCCTCAGTCCACAACCATTCTGTTTTTTTTTTAGTGAGTCGTGTCAATGGTTCTGCAACTTTTGAGAAGTCCTTTATAAAACGGCGGTACCAAGAACATGTCTGTAGAAACGTTACCAAGTGTTTGAGGTTAGTTGGTTTGGGTAAATCGACTATAGCAGTGATTTTGTCAGGATCCAAGTGCAATCCCTTGGGTGTGATTAGGTGACCCAAATATTTTAAGGAACAGCAACAAAATCGACATTTGTGCATATTAGCAGTCAGGTTAAATTTTCTCATCTTTACGAAAATGGATCGTAGGTCATTTAGGTGACCTTTGAAGTCTGACGAGAACACAATTAAGTCATCTAAATATGCCAGCATTTTAACATTTTCTAGGCTAACACGAAATCTATCAATTAGCCTCTGGAACGTAGATGGAGCATTTCGCAATCCGAATGGCATTCTTGTAAATTTGAATATACCAAATGGTGTAATGAATGCTGTTTTGTCCTGGTCCTCTTCACGAACCTTAATTTGCCAAAAGCCAGCCTTGAGATCTAATGCTGTCATGTAAGGAGTGGGTTTTGCATCATGCAATAAATCATCTATTCTAGGCATAGGGTATATGTCAGGCACAGTTATTTTGTTTAGTCTCCTATAATCGACACATAATCTAATGGTGCCATCTGACTTTGGTACCATTACCACGGGAGCTGCCCATGGCGAAGTGCAAGGTTCTATGATACCACCCTCTAACATTTTATGGAGCTCAGTTTTAAGCGCTTCCTTACGGGGAGGTGATAACCTGTAAGGCGGCATAGATATTGGTGGATGGTCTAATGTGACAATACTATGTTCAGTTACGCTTGTAGGGGTACCATTGGAAATGAAAACATCTTTATACTCTTGTAGCAACTTATTTAATTGATCTTGTTGTTGACAATTTAGTTGAGTTTCAATTTTAATAGAATTTAGTTCAACACGTGGTGAGGGGAATAAACTTTTAGAGGAAGGGGATAGGTTGCTACCTTCCAATTCAAATGTTTGAATGGCATCTGCCATCATATATTCCAGACGTGGAGAATAACCATCAAATATTATAGTTTTAGCTCGTTTGATGTGCGGCGGAGTTTTAGGCATATCAATTCGCACCAATCTATAGGCAGAGGCGCCCTCAATTGGCACATTTGCTTGTTCTCCCACTGGTGTAATTTCACAGGCTGCCATGGCGGGATTGAAAGTCGATGGTAAACTCATGGGGCATACAACTGTCTGTGTATTTGACGTATGAGAGTCTATATTAATTCTTTTCGGAGGGGAAGTTTGTGCAGATACACCGGGGAAGTTCACGAAGTCTTCGGTGTATAGCTCATACTTTCTGTTTGGGAACTCAATGAAGTGCCATGTGAACTGTGCAAGATCTAAAACGATGCCAGCCTCTTTCAGGAACCCAACACCCAGCAAGGTGCGGTTGTCTCTGGAGTCCGGCAGTACAATAAAATTACTTTTTATCTTCCGCTCACAAAGTTCAACCTCAACATCCAATGCAAGTACCTTTTGATGTCGTTGTACGCCGTCCGCCATGGTAAGGTATACACTTTGTTCATAAAAATTATGCCCTTGACTCCGAAGTAATTGAAAGAGCTGGAACGAGGCTACATTTGTTTTTGCGCATGTATCGATGAATGCTACCCCATGTAAGCCGTTGATACTGACGAAGACAGTTGGTCGCATATGTGTCTCGATGCGTACGTTAACAGAACAAAAGCTGAGTCTTCTGGAATCTGATGTACTAGTCTCAGATTTTGTTGCACACGTGGGACAATTGCTGCGGTAAACTCCTGGTGCTCCACATCCATAGCAAGTAATTTTGTGGGAAATTACTTCCTTTGAAGGGGTTGGTGCTACTGGTGCTGGTGGGCGATATTGTAATGGTTTGGAGTTTCCGGGATTTGATAAACTCGCTCTTCTTTTCCGACATTCTTCTGCTACGTGACCGGAGATTTTGCAAAAATTGCACCGCACCCTGTGACTAGGTTTTGGCATTGATTGTGGATTCTTCTTTTTTTCTTCCAAAACCTGTTCCGCCCTTCGAGCGTCATACAACAGATCATTATAAGTTTTAACCCCGTTGCGAGGAACTTTTTCACGGATACTTAAATGTAGCAAGCTGTATATGAGGTCGATTTGTTGTTTCTCAGACAGTTGTTCTCCATTTGGAAGTTGAGAGAAAAGTAATCTTTTCTTAGCGAGAAAAGTGTCTGTACCTTGCGCGGATTCTTGTTTCTCGCTTATAATTTCATGATAAACCAGGTATTCTGGTCTCTTCAGGGCAAAATTGCAGCGGAGTTGTTCTTCAAATTCGTTCCAGGCAGTAATAGTGTCCTTCATTCCCTGCCACCAGACAGCGGCTTCGCCGTGAAGCAACAGAGGCAGCCCGTCCAAGGAATCCGAGTCCGAGATGTTCTCAATTTTCTTAAAAACGCGAACGGCGGCCAAAAACGCTTCCACTGCCTCGGAACTCTTGACACCGTCATAGGACGCTGTGCAGGAGGCGAGGCTACCACGCCGATTACAAATGGTAGACAAAAGTTGCGAGAACTGCGCATCAGATAGATTTACTGATTTTGCCATCTCTTGATTTGTTTCGGTGTACGCCTCTAATATGTGATCTTCAGTCCGTATTTGGTGACTACTTATTTTGGTCCGTTTCTCGGCCCCACGTTGGGCGCCACTGTAGTAGTCGTCCTCTTGTCGACCCCGCGGTGATGCTCTCACGTCGTTTTCCACTGGTCGTCAGCAGGTGTTCGCCGGTGGGGGGGGGGGGGGGGGAAGCGGAGAGGTGATGTGGTTTTATAATGAAATACGGTTGACTGAATATCTGACGTGTACTTGGAAATTACTACTATATACAGTTTGTAGAATGCAGACTCAGTTCCGTGTCTCACAAGCGTGAAAGCGCGGTGCTAAGTGCTGTGCTTATCGGAAGACGTCCAGATACAGTCCCTTTAATTAAAGTACCTTTGAAGATTTCTATCTTCAAAGGTACTTTAATTTCTTGTTTTGGAGTAAAATGGCAACTATTTTTCAAATATAATTTATTTACTTCATATAAATTACTAAAAATAATTTTACTGCCCTCTGTCCACCCAAATCACAAACAGTTTTTGATTTTAGCGTTTCGTCTAAAATAACATGTGTAATTTCAAAGTTGACGACGCTAGGTGTCGCTGAAGTCGTGCACATAGCAAATACAATCCACACCTTATTCTAGTTTCTTAAAGCGGGGCCTATTAGTTCCGCATGGACTGTAACTTCTGGGTTTTTGTTGAGCATGTAATGTAACTTAGATGACAGTCCAGTAATATAGGTAATATGCAATGGTATTAATTAGATGATGAAGCCTGGAGTCACAAGACCTCTGTAATTATATGAAGCATCGATATTGGGCCAGTTTGATTTGTTTTGACAGGGAATTTAAAGGTTGCTATGGGAACTCTGTAATTAAAAAACTCAACCAAGTTGAGTGTTTTGCGCGTTTTTGTCAACATAAGATCTCTGATTCAAGTTAATATGTAACGAATAGGTTTATTGTGTCTTTTGTAGGTTACTGCTGGCAGAAGCAGCATTAAAAAATTTCGAATCCGAGAATGCATTAGAGACAGCAGAAGCGGCCTTTGTTCGGAGAAACGATTACGCTGGCATCAGATTCGTGTCGCGTCTCAACGCGTTACATTCGAATGCGCTCAAAAAAGCAGAGATATTGGCTTACTTCAAAGATTTTGATGCAGCTGAAAAAATATACCACAATGAGGATAGACGGTGAGTAGGTAGGGTCAAAGTATACCATGCTATACCATAATCATCATCATCATAATCCTCATCATCATCAGCCTATTACTGTCCCCACTGCTGGGTCGCGGGACTTCCCTACCAATCACGCGGGCCCAATGCATGCGGGCAGAATGATAGTAGAATAATGCGAGAAGTACAAATTGAGAAAGGTAAATAAAATAATCTGGCGTAAACACGATGGGATTTCATTTAGACAGCCACCCAAATCTAACTAACACTTGGGTATCGGCCCTGCAAATACGATGTCAGGTGAACTAAACGCTCTTAATTCGAGTGAATAGGTAGGCCAAGTAATCCAGCTTACGGGCCGGGATTATGCTTCTAATGCTGGCAAGTATACCAACGTTATTTGATCCTCCTCCTCCAACGCGGATTGGTGGGTATTAACGGTTGCATATATACCCCGGGCCAACCAATCACAGAGGAGCTCGAGATAATAAATTTTTGGTCACCTATCCTATGACCGGCCATTGCAAAATTAACCTGAAACCTGTTGTGTGTACTATTTCCGATTTTGCATATCCAAAGTTTTCTTAGAACATTAGCATTATTCGATATGTCACGGTGATCCAAATGACTGTTCAAGTAAAATAACTAGTATAATTTTTACAGAGATCTCGCTATTATGCTGCGCAAGCGCTTGGGTCACTGGTTCAGAGTTGTAGAGTTACTTAAAATGTCTGCCAGCTCGACAGATGCGCAAGTGAAACAGATTTACAGCAACATTGGTGACTACTATATCGATCGCCAAAATTGGTTTGTTCGCTTTTTTATATATTGCCTAAAAAGTTTTCAGACTCTGGACTATAATATTAAATTACTCAATAGGAATGATTGATATTTTTTGTTAATTTGTCTGTCAGCTTGATTATTGAAGAATATTATTTTTTATATTATTTTTTATAATAGGTATGATCCCTATTGTAAATAAAAAATGAAATATCAGACTCTTAATACAATTTTTGTTTGACGACTAATTTTTGTTTTTTTTTGTCCGTCAGGTGGATATTAAATACGATTTTTTTTGCGTAATCAATAAATTACAGCGATACATTGAGTTGAAATGTCGCATGACGTCACAATTTGGTATATTATATACAAAACTGACGTAGCTAGCCCTCACTCCTTAACTTTAATGCCTAATAACTAAGCCATTTTTTGTTTAAATTATAGCAAAAAAAAAATATATGTATCTAATATTTTTCTATTGTCTGACTGACGATCTAAATAGAATTTTTTTTACGTAGTCTTCATCCCTATTTTAGAAAATATTTTTTTCCAAAATATACGTTACTATTTTACATCAACTACAAATATACACAAACCAATATATATAGATGTCGATGCAAAATTGTTTTTTTTTTCTTTTTTTACCCAGGGTAAATGTGTTATGCACTATCCCTGTACTACTCTCGAAATACTAGGCATGCCCTCAGTTGAGGACGGAGCCCGGTCGTAGTCGCCAGGCTGTTCGCCTGTGGTGAGAAGGAGACAGAATTCTTATAATGTAATATAACCAAAATCTACTACGGTAGTTTGTAATGTAACGAGACAAATTGCAAACTAATTTACAATTTTACGTTGACAAATACAATTAATACAAGAAAAATTAAATCCAGTCAATGTTCATCTGCATCATCGTGGCAATTAATGATTTTAGGACGGGAGCGTTAGAGTATTATACAATGTCAAATAATACTGAAGGTTTAAAGAAATGTTACATGGCATTGGAGGATAATGAATCCTTGTCTAAACTTTTCACAGGAGCTCAAAAACCGTCTAAGGTGCGTCTCTCAACTAATGGATGTTTGTGCATTTTATTTTTATATTTTTATTGCAAATTAATATCTCATTTTTAGGATGGATCTGTTAAACAGAGTATATTAGACGAAATAACCGACACGTTCAATCAAACACCGTCTGTTCAAGGAATAATGCAACTCAGGGAGTCTGGTAGAATGCTACAAGCAGCGGCAATGGCCTTTCAGGTAAGTAATAAGCTAAAAAATAAACTAGACTTCTCGACTTTAGTGTTAATGTTCATGTAGGGTAAAGTTGGGTCATTATAAAACGCCACATTTTACATTTATCAAACTAAACTAGAAAGTGAGGCGTCGTTTTTAAAATTTTCGATTAATTTAACGAATTGATATGGTTTTCAAATAAATGTGAACCGAATGAAGTTATTGTGCAAAAATAATATTTACTTTATGAATATTATCGATACTGCTTCGTGAGATCGATTATTAAATTATGTATTGTGTTGACATTGTAACAGAAACAACAGAAGAAATTACAGATAATAAATAAAAAACGCACAATTTACTTATTATAAAGCGTAATGCAAAAACTTAAAGAGTGGGAATAAATCCAAAACCAAAATATTTTTTCATTCCACCGGTTACGTCCCCTCTCTCTACAGAGCCACCGCGCTTCCTAACTTAGTAGGAATGAAGTATGTCGGTGTGTATTTAAATTATTCATACTATAAGATGGCCGGAACATTGACGTCTTAAATAAAATTTAGGTTCCTCGTGTTGCGACGAACTTTAAAATTTGAAAAATAAAAATAAATTCTTTTTCTAGATATTTATTTGAAAAACTGTCTTTATGAGTTGATTTTTTACGCTTGAATTAATGGAATTTGTAATTTTCATGAAATATTGTACAAGATCAAAATATAGTAAGAGCTCTTACTATGTTTATAATAATCATAGACCTTATTCAATTATTAAATAGATCTTACAAATAATTGTCATGTTATTTTGACATTCGTTAGTTTTACTAAAACTAAAAACATTGTGATTTCAGTTGGCAAATATCGAGGCTTCAAAGAAATTGTCTCCTTTACATATCAAAAAATTGTATATACTCGCAGGACATCTGTACACTCAAAATTCTGTCGGTAAGAAACAACAAAAAATAATACTTTATTCTAATGGCGTTCATATAGAAGACTGCAGTGAGTTGTTTAGATTAATAATGTTAAATGCCTAAGGTATTTACGTGAATATAAAGTTAAATTTCACTTTTTCCATGACAGATTTATTAAAATTGATTGACATGAAAAACGCATAAATGCAAATTTTGCTGTTAGCGTGGTTTAGGCTCGGGAGTATAGGTAGTACACTAACGGGCAATGCATCGCCGTTGGAACGGGGGTATTAAGTAGGATTTAAGCTTGTTTAAATTCTGAGAACTGGTAATGCTCGCAGAAGGTGCGAAAAGTCGCGAAGCGGTCCGCAGTTATCGGTTGGGTGCGGCGCAGCACTGGTTGTGTGTGGCGTGTGTGAGGGCGCGCGCTCACCCGCCGCGCCCTGACGCCGCCCTGCGAGCCGCCGCGAGACTACGCGCCGCGTTACCGGACCTGCATCCAGCGCAACGTGTACAGGCAAGTTTCTATTGTCCAGTGCCGGATTCACCCTAACGCCTACGGCATACCACCATAATATGGCCATACCACCATAATACGGCCACACCACCATAATACGGCCATACCACCATAATACGGCCATACCACAATAATACGGCCATACCACCATAATACGGCCATACCACCATTATATGGCCATACCACCATAATACGTACATACCGCCATAAAACGGCCATACCATCATAATACGGCCTTGTCACCCACTCACATACTTATTGTCTAGTTTTGAAATCTGTCGCAATAACTTGCAAAGGTATAAAAATCGTGATAGCGATTAAAGGAGTTATGTAACTTTTAAAACTTCTCATTTGGAACGAATAATGATATGATCAAGAAACATAATAAAATCTTATCATATTTGATCGATTTTTCATTCGTAATGCTACAAAGAAAAAAGTTTTTAATAAAAATGCTTAAAAAACCAGAGCGCCTACTAATGAAAACTTACCTAAACTGACAATTCTCTATACCTTTCAAAGATATTTGCGTTTATCACTTGCCTAATAAAGATAAACTTAATATTAATCACTATTACTATCACATGTCAAATAGTTGTAGCGTGGAGTTCGTGAATATATTTCAAATGATAAATTGAAAGGGTTTGCAATAGATTTTAAAATTAGACAATTAGCCTCGTGATATTAGAGGCGACGAATAATCAGACATATTATTCACCACCCCTAATATCTTTTTAAAATCCCTTTCAATACTATCTTCACTTGTCATCCAAGATAACCTCGTAAATTGATACCTACAGGTATACATTTCGAAGTATTATCATGAAATTCTACATGACAACATAAGTTTGTTAATACAATTGTCATATTATTTCATCATTCATTTGCAAATATTTTTTTTTGTATCCATTTCAATAAACGTCATCAAAAAAGAAAATACACATGCAATGCTTAAATTATGAGAACTATAAAGGGGCGGTTAGTAGGTACAGCATGGCCTAGCGTGGCCAAGTCTGCAAATCCGCCTCTGTCTATTTCACAATCAAGGCCACTGTTTTGTGCACATTAATTGGCGCTACTAGGAAGTAAAGTCCTGGACTCAATTTTACTAATGTTAACGTAATTATGGCATGTCACTTGCGTTTCGATGCCAGCCATTTTGATATAGTTCTTGTTACTATACTTATACCACAAAATTACAAAAGGATCTGTCATCATATTGTCAGGTCATTTTATAGCAATTTTTAATAGCGACAAACATTTTGGCGACCTCGCGTTACACTATCGCTTCCAGTGGTGAATTTACATGTGATAGCATCCAACCAAGTATGACCTGCTTATGGATTTAGTGTATCGATGAGGTTGTGAAGCCCTCGCATATTCATCATCATCATCATCAGCCCTTTTACGTCCCCACTGCAGCCGCTCAAGCCTTCCTTTTGGATGGTTAAGGAGGATGGGCCATGTCCCTCCACGCTGGCCCAATGCGGATTGGAGGGTATTAACGACTGCAAATGCAGCCGGGACCAACGGCTTAACGTGCCTTCCGAAGCACGAAATAGCTCAAGATAATAATTTTTTGGTCACCCATCCCGTGACCGACTATTGCGAAAGTTGCTTAACAACAACGATCGTGGGCCGCGGCGCTTATCCACTACGCCACCGAGCTACTTATTACGCATATTGTATAATCTCAAATTCAGAAATGTTTGTTATTCGATTACTGTGTAATAGCGGCATGAATTTAACAGATGTAGGTAAGTGACGATTCTAATGCAGACAAAATTTAAATAGATGGAAGTTGCTGGCAGTAATCAGTAAAAATCACATAAAATGTACTTCACCTCATATTTTAACGTATATATGTTTTTCACCAGAAGTTTGGTACTTGCAGGTGTGGTGTACGATTGCGTCAATAGCTATTCAAGCAAGAGCTTTCGATTTATGTTCTCAAGCTTTTATCAAATTGGAGGCTCTGGATGTGAGTATAGTTGCAGCAGGGATGTTATGGATATTCAATTTGGGATTCGGATCCGGATATAAAAATGTTATTCCTGTTACGGATATGAATTTATTTCTGATTAGCCGGTAGTTACTGTTATGGATATTATTTTAGGGTAATTTTAAAAGTAAAATATGCAATATTTTTTTTATGATAAACCGATGATGTGGCCGTTATTACAAGCCGTTATAAATATAATCAATTACACTTAGCAATAAAAAATAAAATTTTATTTAATGGTATAGGAACTTTGTATTGTGTTGATTATAGTTTTTAGATATATATTTTATCTAAAGGAGCGTGTTTTATATTATTACTGGTCCTATACAAGTTACTATTTAACCAAAAATAAGATAAAATAAGATCTTTATTTGCTAAAATACAAATGAATAAGGTCACATTAATAATATCAATGTGTACCTATGTTTTGAATAGGTGTACTTAGTTAATTACTTTAAAATGTATATGTGTACACAATACATTAATTTCCTTGAAGTTTCATTGTTACAATAGTCTTCAGTTTAAAATAATTATGTTTCCTCATTCCACAAATATGACAGTTTTCTCATTTAAAGAATTTTAATTCTTTAATCAAAATCAATTGAAAGTTGTGTTGTGATTCTTGCATTGGGCGCCCGTTTTATGAAAAAACCTGTTACAATTATACTACTTAATCATCCAAAACGCTTTATCAGTTGCTGTAACGGTTATATTTTTATTTCGGATATCGCATACTTTCGACGGTACTCCTTAACAACCCTGAATTGAACTTTTTTAGCTTTTGATAACTTAACCATTTTTGTTTATTTTTATAGGCGGATCGTTTTGAAGCCCTTGCAATAGAATGTTTTACAAGATACAAACCTAAAGATTTTAAGGGCAATAAAATAGACTGTCCAAGTTGCCACGTGGGTATGCCAGAATGGTAAGTACCTATTCACTAATTTAAATGGTTTTCTCAGTGTCTACTGTATAGTTCTAACTCATACGTAGCTGCCACCACTTTACTGTAATAAAAATAAAATGATTGATAGATTGTTTTAATAAAAATTAATGACCTATTTTTAGATAGGTAAAATTATTATTTGAATATGAAATTGACATACCTACGGGTTATATTTTTGAAATAAATAGTTTGGCCATTATTTAAGAAAATAGACGTAAATGGACCTTGATAATATTTTTTTTGTCACAAAAGTGTTGTCTCTGTATTGCATTTTGGCTGATAGAGTATATAAAGGAGCTTGTGTATGTAGTGAAACATTAATTTGAATCTTACGCACCAAATTAGTTGTATATTTCGTTACCTTAGGATGGAAGCATGCCCCGGTTGCGCGACTCAATTTCCTGGATGTGCGGTGTCGAGTCGCGCTCTCATCACACCGCACACTGTATGGACGTGCGTAACGTGCGGCGCGCGAGCTCAACAACATGAAATGGTGTTGAGGCACTCCTGCCCTATGTGTCACGTACAGTTGGATTAATTAACAACTGCTATTCTACAACTACTCCGTCCAAGAAATATATATAATTAAGCGAAGCAATTCGAATTAAAAAGAAGTTAGAAAATATTTTGTTTTTTCTTGGCCTTTAACATCAGAAGAACTCGAAAGCAGGTATATATCTGCAAATAACACCCACCCGCATAAACTTCAGTTACTCCGTACGAAAACAGGTAGTTCGATATATCTGCAAATAACACCCACCCGCATAAACTTCAGTTACTCCGTGATCATGGCGCTTGCAACGGCGCCGAAATATCGAAAATTCAATAAAAACATGGTACATGGTAGCGATCCTGTCTTAAACAATAATTCTGATATTTTGTTTTATGCCTTTAAACGGTAATCAGCTCAACTTTAGGATAAGCAACCCTACTTCTTTTTATTGGTAGATTTATACTAGTCACACTAGGTAATTGAAAAGTGAATTTTCTTTTCAGACCTCAGAAATCACAGCTTTTAAAAATGTTTGTCGTGTTGAGTTAGCTTTATGGATTTAAGTTTTTTTCTTCTTAATAATAAAGAATAACTTGAAGTAGATCACATACATTGCTCAGCTTCCAAGCTATTATGGAGTATCTGAGACAACGTAGGTATAAACAAACCCGAGACAATAAAGAAAAGTCCTTTTGTCCGACCGGGAATCGAATTCAGGACCTCCAAGATGGTGACACCTTATTATACTCATTTAAAAGCATAGGGACTGTTGGTCTAGGTTGTAGCTAAAGTTGTTAACACTTACCACTCCGCAATGGGCCTGCATTGTGGGCTATGGCTCGTTCACCCTATTTCATTACTAGTTACCACGCCGTCCCATCAGTAGGCTGATCAAAGAATATTTATAAATCATAATATTCCACAATGTACGAAACTACAAGTTCATATTAAGAAGCTTGATGGCGCAGTAGTTAGTTTGTTCAGTCTTCGACGTGAAGGTGTACCTCGTGTAGGACGTGTTTTTCGCGACGTCCAGTCATAGGATGGGTCACCATAAATGTATTATCTGGAGTTCCTTGTTAGGACCGTATTTGCAGTTGTTTAACATCACCAATCCGCACTAAGCCTGCGCGCTAGCACGTGGCCCATTTTCCTTATTTGATCAATCTAGAAGAATGCCTGTGCTCCCAGCATTGCGGGTATTAACACGCTAACGACTATTACAATATTTAGCATTATCAGAATTTTTCTCAAAACTGGAAGTGTCTATGGAAATCAGTAATTTTCAAAATTAGAAACTGTTTTACTTATTGTAAAATACTTACTGATAAAAAATTGTATATTAGGTATCTGATTCAGCATTTTTGCAAATTTTATCCCGGGTCTTTTTTCACGAATACAGTTGTAATTTATCCAGTAGATAAGCATAATATTCGCCATTTATGTTTTGTCCTTTTGGAAGGTAATCAATCATCCATATACCCTTTGAATCCCAAAATACTGACGACATGACTTTCACGGCTTTGGAGCCGGGAATCCTTTTTCTGTCCATTGTTTAGACTGAATTTTTGATTTAGGTATATAGTGGTGAACCCAAGTCTCGTCTGTAGTAACAAACCGTCGCAGAAAGTCAGTTCTATTGCTCTTAAAGCGGTCCAAACATTCTTGTGAACGCGTTTTTGGTCAACTGTAAGCAATCGCGGCATCCACCTTGCGGATAATTTTTTCATACATAGTTCTTGAGTCATAATGTAATGCGCCCGTTCTTTAGAGATGCCTACAGTATCAGCTATCTCGGAAAGTTTCAATCTTCGGTCAGCTAAAACTGCATCATGAATTTTGATCACAATTTCTGGAGTAGTGGCACTTTTTAGACGTCCTGGACGATGTTTATCTTGGGTGCTGGTGCGGCCACGTTTAAATTCAGCCACCTAATTTTTTAATGGTCGCATATGAAGAAGCATTTTCTCCCAAAACATCCTTCATCTCCGAAAAAATCTCTCCACCTTTGAATCCTTTTAAATGCAAAAACTTTATCACAGCTCGTAGCTCAATTTTATCCATTTTGCAGAAAAAACAAAAGAATGCTTTTTGAAATGTAAATATTTAAAAGAAAAACTATACGATCGATTTGAAATTTGGAACACTGGCAGCTAATGAACCAACGAGTAAAATACTAAGGGGATTTTATATCGTTATTATACAAAATATGGGTTGGGCTAGCTATTTATCATCCCGCCTACGTAAATAAAATCTTTTTACTAAGACTTACTATGTTGAATATTTTTATTTATATAGATATTTAATATTTTTAGTGTTACCTATTATATAAATAGAACTAAAAAGCATGAAATAAAATAGAACCAACTGCAAATAAATTATATTTAACTCAAAAGAGACTTATTCAAAGAAAATGCTTTTGAAGTCGGGCGGAAGCAGTGGCGTAGCGTGGGTGTCTGTCGCCCGGGGCGGAAGTCAAGAACAGTCATCATTATTTTGCATTATACACGTTAGATTTAGTGTGGTTTAGTTGTCGCCATGCAACTGCCCACGGATCGAGTGTTGTGGGTTCGATCCCTACAAAGGGCAATTCTTCGTGTGATTTATAAATAATTAATAGCCCCCCGCCCCCACTACGCTACGCCACTGGGCGGAAGTCTTCTGTATGTGATTAATTAAATGATGGTGCCCAGGGTTGAATTCAGTTCTATTTCAAGTTTTTATTTAACATAAAGGCAAAGGACCAACTGACTAAGAATAGTGATTATAACATAGAGTGTGGACTATATTATTAGTCCCTAAGTTGAAATTTATGTAGGTATTTGTGCGAAGCCATTAAAGAAAATCTAGTTTGAAATAAAACAATGATTATTTTACGTATTAATCTAATCTTTGTTTAATGGGCTCACAAAATAGTCTTGAAACTGTTACTGTATTAATCATCATCTGACTAGATATCATTATCTGTTAAATTTACATAATAAGCAACCACAATTATATCTCAAGTATATACAAAATTAAAAATAGTTCACTGTATTTGCACACATCTATAGTATCTGTGAGATGATGATAAATAATGTTTTTGTACTATAAAACATAGGACAAGTGTTATACATTCCAGAAAGTGTTGTTGAATACAAAAAAATATTGTGTTTAAATGCAGGTTGTGACAACACATTACTATAAACTAAGATTTTGTTTACCAACCCAGCATCCATAAACCAGGGTACCCACATTTATTAACAGTTTTGCATATATTTCAAAATACTATTTTAACATTACTTATTATTGCACAAAATTGTTTGGCATATCTATTTTTGAAAATTGCAATGTATTATCAATAATTTGAAACAATTCCGGTGGCTGTGGGATCCTTCCTGTTTCCAATTTTGACCATAGTGGTATGTTATTAAGTGATATTTCAAACGCTCCAGATGACACCAGCTGGCCTTCAATCATATTAGCCAAAAAGAACATCATCATGCAGGCATACAGTTTATTTTCCAAACACCAACTCCACCACGCTGGTTGAGGTTTATTTAACCATGCAAATATGTTGACTCCACTCAGTATGCACATAATCAATATCATTTTACCAAATCCCTGAAACGGTAAAGTTAATGTATCACTTTCGAAATAAAACATAATCAGTATAATTTTACATAGGAAAAATTATCCTATATATTCTTTCAGTTAATAGATTTTTTCTTACAAATATCCCATTTTAGGTCAGTGATTTTCCCTAAAAAGGATTTTGATTTGAAAAAAAAAATTTTTTTTTGAGCATGTTTTTAGCATATTTAATTCATACTAAAGTTGTAAAGGTTAATTAAATTTAACTCTTCAGATTTAAATAATATATCATGTGTCCACAAGTCAGTCAGTCATCATATCAACAGAGACGTCCACTGCTGGGCATAGGCCTCCCCCAATGATCTCCAACGTGATCGGTCCTGCGTTTTCCGTATCCAGCTGCTTCCCGCGACCTTCACCAGATCGTCGGTTCACCTTGTGGGGAGCCTACCAACACTGCGTCTCCTGGTCGCCACTCCAAGACCTTACCGCCCCAACGGCCGTCAGTCCTGCGAGCGATGTGCCCTGCCCACTGCCACTTGAGGTTAGCAATTCTTGGGCTATGTCGGTAACTTTCGTTCGTCTGCGGATCTCATCATTTCGCATTCGATCTCGCAAAAAAACCCCGAGCATAGCCCTTTCCATTGCCCTCTGAGCGACCTTGAGCTTCCGAGAGTTGGATCCGTCGATTTACCTCTCTCTGGAAGTTGGACTTACTTAATCGGACTATTTGTCCCAGGTAAACGTACTCGTCGACAGCTTCCAGTGTAGAGCCTCCAACATTCACTGGAGTGGGTACGACTTGGGAGTTCGACATTATTTTCGTTTTCTCCATGTTCAGTTTAAGACCCACTTGTTGGGAAACTCTACAGAGATCTTCGAGCATTGTGCCTAGATCTTCCATAGTCTCAGCCATGACTACGATATCATCAGCGAAACGAAGGTGCGTCATTTACTCGCCGTTTATATTGATGCCAAGTCCTTTCCAGTCCAAAAGCTTAAACACGTCCTCCAGTGCGGCAGTGAACAGTTTCGGCGATATAACATCGCCCTGTCTCACTCCACGCTGAAGTAGTATTGCTTTCGAGTTTTGGTCCTGGAGCCCAACTGACATGGTGGCGTTTTCATACAGTAACTGCAATATTTGGATGTATTGATAGTCTATTTGGCACCTCTGGAGTGACCTAAGCATGGCCCAGGTCTCGACGGAGTCAAAGGCTTTCTCATAGTCAACAAACGCCACGCACAGTGGCAGATTATACTCCTCGGTCTTTTGTATAACCTGTCGCAGCGTATGAATGTGGTCTATGCTACTGTAACCTTTTCGGAAACCGGCTTGTTCAGGAGGCTGGAAGTCGTCAAATCTACGTGCGAGACGATTCGTGATGAGTATCGAAAACAGCTTGTACACATGACTCAGAAGCGTGATGGGTCTGAAATTCTTCAATTGAGTCCTGTCGCCCTTTTTGAAGAAAAGCACCACCACGACCCCGTGCCATGCTTCTGGCGTCTTGCCCTCGAGTATGAAGGAGTTAATTGCTTCTGAAGCGCTTTCGGTACTGGTAGCTCCGCCGTGACTTCGTCATCCCTCGGCGCCTTGTTGTTCTTGAGCTGTTTGAGAGCCAAACTAATCTCATATAGAGTGTCGTCCGGGATGTCTTCTGTATAATATCGGGTTAATTTGGCTCTAGGGTCTGTAGCCTCAATGACTGATTTTTGGGATGTTGCGTATAACTAGAAGCAGAACGTCCATAGAAGCGTTCGATCTCAGCCAAAAGCTCAGGACGGGATGTAACGACTCTGCCGTCCTCCGTCTTCAGCTTCGTCAACAAGCTCTGACCGAGAAACAGATCTCTAGTGAATACTTTGGAGCCTTTGCTTCGCTCAATGGCCTCCTTAATACATTGAGTATTAAATTGGCGTATGTCGCGTTTGAGAGACTTCGAGATCTGTCTACTGAGTTGCCGACGAGCATCTTCAGAAGACTGCAGAATCATTCCACGTCTTTCTTCCATTAGCTTGCTTGTCAGCTTTGACATATTGCTTCTTTTTTGAGTACGGCGAGGTTTGAGGAATTTTGAATCCACTGTAAGGACAGCTTCTACTATTCTGTCATTGTATTCGTCTATATCCGAGCAGCTCTCCAGGCAATCGAAGCGATTTTGAAACTCGAGCTGAAAGTGCTCGGGGTCCTGGATCTGGGTGGCTTCAGGACGAAGCGTAGACTTCACCAGTCAATACCATTTGGCTTTTACGCTTAAATTCAATGCTCCTCCCTCCCTCTCCATGTAGTTGGCTAGCATTTGACCACAGTGCCTTGTTGGTTAGTCGGCAGGGTGTACCGCATGCAGGTGAGGTTGGCTTGGGATCTGTTAGATGTTGTTCAGACCCCCTTACACCCCTAAGATTATAACAGACAGTGAAGATACTAAAACATTATATTTTTAGATAAAATATTACTTGCCATACAATCCAATGGCCCAAGATGTCAAGTGATTTGGAAATATATATTTCTGTACAGAAATATTTATAGTTTCAAAATATTATTGTATCTTAAATGTGTGGTAGCTTGAGATGTTAAAACATGTTATCTTAAATAAAATATTATAGCATCTTCACTGTCTGTTATGAGCTTAACTCTAATAATATTACTTAGTTATTACATTTTAAAACAATGAAGTGAAATTGGCATTTGAGTACTACAAATTGAAATACATATTTACATAATACCAGACAGTCTACATATTTCTTCAAATTTACAACTTACAATCATTCTGGAGAGATACATGTTTAAACCTGGTGGGTCATAATTTGCACCAATCACAGAGATTTCAGGATACTTTTGCTGTATTATACCTGCATAATCTTCAAATACTTTTCTGTAGCCACATGAGTAACTGGAATATATATTAATAAAGGTTAGAAAATATATATGTAGGTAATTTAATTGACTTATGAGTTTTATAGTCTGTGCTCTTATTTAATTAATGTAACATTGTTAAAGATTAGTTAAGTCTAAAGTAGTAGTAGTACTAGAAAGAAAAAATAATTTTAATTTCATTTAATCTCAAAATACTACTTGTACTCCTATTATGTAAATATATGTTAGCCACTAGGTTTCTTACCAATAATAAATGTTCATAATGTGACCTACTCCTTGCCCGATTTTACTGATACTTTCTGCTTCATTATCACTAGCTTCTGCACCGTAATCGCGAGATAATATAAGACACGTAACAACAATGAAGATGAACCCCATGCTTGAACAGAAATTATTAAACAACGCCATTGTTTGACTGGTGCTGATTCAATTCACAAATATTTTTATGGTTACAGTGTTCAACAGTGAGAGATAGGAACTTTATACTAGCAAAATCTTATTTCTTTGATTCTATAAATTGTAGATATCATAGCAAGCGAACAAGACGTCAAAAGTCAAACAAAACCACAGACGAATAAGAGATTGAACAAAACCATAAATTAAAACCATTTTCTTTATGCCCAAAACAGAGTACAGTTAGCGCTTAGTGTGCTAATTGAACACGCTAATCCTATTAGACGTTTAACGCTGCAAGTATGTAGGCACATGCTAAGAAATTAGCATGATGCATAACGGCCAAAAGCGCTTAGTTACACACTTAAATTATTATTTTTGGTTGATCGGGCAATGGGCGCAAACGCTAATATGGATGCGTTTACTCTCGCAGCACGTTAAATACAATCGAGTGCACGACGCGTAGTCGCGTAGGCGCGAATGCTAATGGACGCATTTAATAAAGATTTATTCTCGCAGCACCTTGGACATGACTACGCGAGATTGTGTATTTTAACTTAGTTTAGTTAGTTTATGTTTTAATTTAAATCATTTTTAAGATTTTCTTTCACAAATACAAATAATATGAAAGTACAAAAGTACAAATACAAAAAATATAAACGCATCAAGAAATACGATATGACTTCATGCCTGCTAATGAGGAAGTATTTAAAAAAAGAAAGCACTAAAAAGCACTCTACTAGATGGTGACTCTAGCAAAAGCTGATTTTTGAAAGAAACGAAATGATTTTTTTAAATACTTTCTCATTATACTTGCGAATAATGAGGGGAGTATTTAAAAAACATTAGTTCCCGAAATCAAACTAGATGTTGCTACGGTACTTTCTTGATTTCTCTATGACAAACCTTCCGGTTTTCTTTTATAAAAGTAAATTATTTTTCAAAACTCAATAAACAACTCATATTCTACTTGTACTTTTTCGTATTTGTATTGATATCACATCACATCACTTCACCAGCCCTTTTACGTCCCCACTGCAGGGGCTCAAGCTTTCCTTATGGATGGTTAAGGAGGATGGGCCATGACCCTCCACGCTGGCCCAATGCGGATTGGAGGGTATTAACGACTGCAAATGCAGCCGGGACCAACGGCTTAACGTGCCTTCCGAAGCACGGAGTAGCTCGAGATAATAATTTTTTGGTCACCCATCCCGTGACCGGCCCTTGTGAAAGTTGCTTAACGACAACGATCGCGGGCCGCGGCGCTTATCCACTACGCCACCGAGCTACTGTATTGATATATAAGTTTGGAACTTTGTAAATTTCAACTTTTTAATATGTTAGTTAAAAAGAACGGAAATGACTATCTTTGGTCCAATCGTTTCCTGCAAAAATAAAGTTTTGCTAGAGTCGCCATCTATTGGAGGTGCATTTTTAGTGCTTTCTTTTTTTTTTATAATACTTCCTCATTATCTGTGGAGTGGAAGTGACCAATCATAATACTATATACTCTTTGGAATTGACAATGTGCCATGATGTGACATAAACTAAATATTGACAACTTGACCAGTGTTGCCAACGTAGGCGATTTTTCGCCATTTAGGCTGTTGGCAACACTGAACTTGACAACTTTGACATCGGTGCACCTTCTTCAATTATTTTCTAACTTGATTTTCTAAGAAATTGAACATAGTGTTACGACTTAAACAACCAGCTAATAATTTATGTACTCTAAGAACTGCTTTAGGAATTAATACAGAATGTCTCACAATCATTGTCATGACGATCATCACGATCATGACCATTCAAGTTCAGAAGAAATGGGTATCCAGTACAATTTGTATCAGAAGATAGATAAAGACAACTTACAATGTCTTAATGAGAGTATAGAAGGTTCTGGTAAAACTGTATTTAAACCATGGGATAAAAGATTAGACAGAACTAATGTGAGTGGTTAAATATTTAGCAATTTTTTTTTATGTAAATTCAGTGGCATCAAGTCAGATTTAACTACTTATTACTTTTCGAAAATGATTTGCTTTTAGTTTGTTGAAAGTGATGCTGATGAAGAACTACTTTTTAATATACCCTTTACGGGGAATGTTAAACTTAAAGGCATCAGAATTGCATCTGAAGATACTGAATATCATCCAAACAAATTAAGATTGTAAGTTAGCTTTGTTAGTTTAATACTTAGTGTTTAATAAATTTAAATTTTCAATAAAAATTTTTTTACTTATAAAAGTGGATGTAATTCTTTGAAAGATGTGATATATATTGATTGTGAATTTGTTATGAATTCCTTAGAATTATATAGATCCATATTAGGAAGGCTTGTACTTTGCCATCTTTTGTTGCAGAAGTAAAATGCTTTTTCTCCCAACTTTTAACTCTGTCATGTACATTATCTGTTTTTCTCTTAATATATATCTATTTTATTCCTGTCACTATTGCACCTACTCCTCGTCATAATTCATTATTATTTATCTATGTTGTCTATATTACCAATGGTTGCCTGGAAGAGATTGCTGCATAGCAATAAGGCCGCCTTTTGTATACTGTCTGATCTTTTTTCTTTCTTTTTAATGTGTCCTTTATTTAGGCAATAAAGAATATTATTATTATTATTTATTATTTTTTAGGTTTAAAAATAGACCAAATATGACATTTGATGATGTAACAATGGATCCTGACCAGGTTTTTGAACTGCAAAGGGACAGTGAAAGTTTACTTGAATATTCTCCAAAGTAAGTTGATAGTCTTACTTTATATGGTTATCAATGATTTTTAATGTGTGTGATATTTTATTTCTTTATTTATTATTAGCTTGTTAGGAAGGTCCTGGGGTAAAAAATAAGTCCATGTTCACAACTGTTAGTAGAGTTCCTGTTCTAGTAATTTGTAATTTTTTAAGATTAGCATAATTTTTCTGTTTATTTCAGAGTGGTTACATTTTCATCCGTGTCTCATTTGACAATGCATTTTCCTAGTAATTTTGGTGCTGACACTACCAAAATTTACTATATAGGACTAAGAGGTGAATGGACTCCAGGTCATCGTCATGGTGTTACAATCTGTACATATGAAGCAAGACCTAACTTGGATGACCATAAATTGAAGCATTTGGATTCAGTTTCTAGACATATAAATTGATTATCTTGCTTATAAGTTCATATTAAAATATAAATAAAATGTACAGTTATTTATAATCATTTTCTTTTTTTTTTTTATTCAAGATTCTGTCTTGTAAAAATATGTCCACTATAAAAAAATGCATTTAGTTTTCATCATATTATTATAGTGTTGTGAAGTTATTATACCTACAGTAGGAGAAAGAAAATGTAATTAGTAAGCAGTTATTTAACAGCTACTGGTCCAAAGAGGCTGTTCAGTAAAAGTTTTTGAATTATAGGTTAATACTATTTTAGCTTGTCTTAGCATGAATGGCAAGCTTCCTTTTAACCATATTTATGTGTTATGTCATAACTGAGACAAAACAATTTTAAACTTTATTAACATGTAGATAGAATGGAAATGTTTATTGTTAGGTGCAAATTTGTGATTAATATGAGATTTTGAAATGATATACAACTTTGTCATTGAATTAAGTGCAGTAGGTATATGTACCGCCTCTTATGAAGGTCAAATTTGATTTGTACTTTCAATTTTATTTCTTTCACAACTTAATTATGTTATATAAAAAATTGGATAGTTTTTTTAAGTAGTTTTTTTTGAGTAGATATTAAAAATTGAATAGAGCATATAAAAAATGGATTGTAAACTCGTAACCCACTGTGCGGGACTGGTGCTGAATGAATTAATGTGGGTGGGTGACAATACTGGACAATACACAACCTATATTTATTTGTAATGGGAAGGCACTTGGCAGTCGGGTAGCTTTTATTTTTTGTGTCAAGCTCGTTCTCTTATAGTGCTGTGAATATTTAGGTCTCTTTATCGCATGTAAACTTACGAACTTCGATGGGACTTGCGAAAGGCGATGTGACTCGACATTATAGATATTATAATATTGGACAGATTTGCTAGTTAGGCGCCGTCCGTATAACAAACCACCTTCACAGATCCTAATATAATAACTGAATAAAATCTATTATATAATAAGACACATTATATTAAGCCTTTGTTTATAATATGCTAATTACATATGTCAAGAAAAATGTAATGATGATAGATCTATGAAGAAATTAGAGTGGCTTATTATAGAGACTGACAGAGTTACTTAGGACAAGCTTAGGCATCGGTATGAGTCAAGTACACCAAGTCCTCGATCAATGTTTAGTGGTCGAAGCTTTGTGCCTTTACAATTTTATCCCAGGCACAAAACTCCGTCGTGTTGATTGGTGTCGTAAAATGATCCAAAGATTTAAAGTAGGTGACTCAAATGTTGTACTCGATATACTTTCGGGTTGCGCAAGCTCGATATACTGTTATGATCCGGAAACCAAAGGACAATCTAGTAATTATATAGTAATTAGTATAACCCTGATAACATTTTTGCCACTCTTCTTGGAAAATGGGAGAAACAACCTTGCAGTAGGATCTTCCTGCCGTCAAAGAGGAGGAAGATTAGACAAAATGCTTTTCGTAGTGGTTGTATTAATGTAAATGGACACTATTTTCAAAATATGTAATAAAAATCAATGGAACCTTGCTTACTTTTTGTATTCTTAAATGTAGTACACAAATAAAACAAAACACTATGTTTTTCTTTTTAAATTTATTAAACGTAATTTATTTATTTACATTAACCATTCGTCCATCTAATTTATTATATAAAAATAAAGTTACGGCTTTATTACTTTATTTAGACTAGGTTACATATATCTCAAGTTGATAGTTATGTAAACAAAACCATCGTAATTTCATATTCTTAAATTTCAATATTATTTATTGGAGAACTAGCATTATAAAATATTTTGGCAGTGATGACATTTAAGCATTTCATGCTCTATAGTCTAGATGAAAATTAAATAATATAAATTGATCACGATGAAAAATCATATGATACGCCCGGTAAATTAGTAAACATGATCATGACCAATGATGCAGAACTTTGCGCGGCAAAACAATTTTAAGCTCTTAATACAACGCGAGTAAGTTGAAGATTATATTTACTAAGCATAGTAGGTACCAAATATAAAATTACTCTTCATTCGTCCTGTAGATTGTTATGAGTAAATAATAATGATCACGTGGAAGATAGATCGCACTTAGCTCCGCATCTCTGGACAAAGTGATTTTTCTAATCGTTCATGCTAATTAAACGTGGTAGCATCCTTCGAGATGCAATTTGAATATTCAACATTTCGTTAGTCTCTACACTACGAATTTCTGCGTGCAGCGTGCCGCGGACGGCCACGAACCAATCGGCCTCCTGGTCTGTAGTCACCGCGTCGGAACGCTGGCCGCCTATAGACAGGACGGCGTACTACCGCATTGGGTACAGAGCCTACGTCGCCACTCGGGAATGGCGTTCTGTTATTGTTCCTACCCGGGGATCGCCTCATGCATACTGCACATCTACAAATAAAAATTAATATATTAACTCAAATATCAAATCAAATACAGTTAATTTGCCAAAAGAGTGTGCAACAGACAGTGACCTGAACAGCAGAGACCCAGAGTAAACTTCAGAAAAAATCTATAAAAAAATATAACCGACTTCAAACTTAAAAAAAGTGACGACGGAGGTTTTCTGTAGGTTATTAAGTAATTTATTTGAGATAAGTATTCTTGTATCTCAAATAAATTACTTAATAACCTACAGAAAACCTCCGCCCGACTTTAATAGTATTTTCTTGAATAAGTCGCTTTTGAGATAAGTAGAAGTCGATTCTATTAAAAAAAAAAATATTTCATGCTTTTAGTGATATTGATTTTTATACAATAGTTAACACTAAAAAAAGTTTTCTGAAAACCGCGACAAAACCGTGTTAAAGTGCGGAACTCCATTTTTTTAAATCTGTTAATAAACCTAAAATCTTCTCCTAAGTCTGAAATACTATGCTGAAAATTGAAATGGGACCAACACCGGAAGCACCAGTTTTCAAATTAAGAATATTGATTAAATATACACATAAAATTTCCGTTCAGGAATTATTCTCTTAATCGTAAAGCTAACCTGCTTATTTTGGATACTTGATCGGCCTTGAGAGTCTGCTGTTGAGGTCTTTCGAACATTCTTGCATCGTCAATGGTGGAAAGCCAATAGGAGATGGCGGTTGCGAAGTAGTTGCAACGACCGAGGCCGTTACATTCTATAAATGGTTTGGTGCGGAAGTCGCGCAGACAGGATCCAGGAGATATCAAACTTTGGCCCGCCGCGTCCGCGCCTGCTGTGTGCTACAATAATATATTTTTTAATTAGTAAATCTATATTAATATTTGTAAAAATAAAGATTTGTTTGTTTACATTGAATAGGTTTCGAAACTATTGAACTGATTTCAAGTCTTTCGCTAACGGGAAGCTACGTTGGTGAGATAAAATCTGAAAACTATATTGTTTTAAAGTACAACTGTAATTAAATTTTGAAAATGTTATAGAAGACGAAATTTCAAATTGAAGCTTTATAGTTCAAGTGATGTATCGTGTTAATGGGCTTGATGTATATATTTTAAATCATTGAAATCCGTACTGAACTATTTGTTATTTAGACCACGGAACCCTTTAATATATGGGCGAGTCTGACTTGAAATCCGGATTTTAAAGGCAATTTCTAAGTGAAAAAACAATCAAAGCAGAAAATTGTACTCGTAATTTTTGTGATTGTCCATGATATTTATTCAATCAATGAAAAGCTCTAACTTTATATACGATTGTACCTCCCTATAGTATTTTTTACGATAATAGCGCTACTATTAGGGAAGTTACGGGCTTATTAAATCACCTTCGCATAATTAATTTCGCGACTCTCTGATGTATATAATTGCCAGTTCTTATTTCTGTGGTTGGACTTGGAAAGAACCTTAGATATGAAAGTATGAATATAAAATTCATAGTTCCGAGATATTTTTGAGTTTTGTGTGAAAAGGTATGTATAGTATTTAAGGGTATTTACTATTAATTAATCGATAAGTATACGTATTTTGAACCCATTACCATTAAGAAACTGTAACCGATCCAAAGCTGTTCCCAGTCGTTAGGACACGCAGGCACGTCGTTGCTTTGGCTGTGTATGGCGATAGTCCGAGTAGGAGATTCACAAACTTGGCATCTGAAAATTATGAAACCCAATTTTAAATTTTCAAAAATAAAGGAGCTCGATTACGCAGTGGTTAACGCGCTCGGTCTGTGAGACGGTTGTTTAGCAACTTTCCAAATGGCCAGTCATAAGATGGGTGACCAAAAATGTATTATCTCAAACTCCTACGTGCTTCAGAAGGCAAGTCGTTAATACCCATCAATCCACATTAGGCTCGCGGTGGGTAAACGCCCATTCTCCCTATTCAATTTCATCCATAGGGAAGACCTGAGACCTGTGCTATGTACACAAAACAGATGCATAGAGTACAAGATTATAAGATGTCAATAAAACAAGAAGAATTCTATCTAACGATCGATTACGAAATAAAAAGATACAAATAAGCTAACCATGACAACCCTTCCGGTTTTCCTTTATGGATTAAATAAAGTCAATTAATTTTCAAAACTCAATAAACAACTCATATTCTATGTGTACTTTTTCGTATTTGTAATATATCTCAGTTTCGAAATTTGCAAATTTTAGTTTTTTTTTAATATTAGTGTAAAAGAACGGAAGTCTATCTTTGATCCATTCTTTTCCTGCAAAAATTGACTTTTGCTAGAGTAGCCATCTAGTGAGGTGCTTTTTAGTGCTTTTTTTTTCTTAAAATTACATTACCAGCCTTTTTACGTCCCCACTGCAGGGGCTCAGGCCTTCCTTATGGATGGTTAAGGAGGTAAATACTTCCACATTAATAGATATATGTTTATGACTAGTCTGATAGTTGTTGCCACAGTGCCGCCACACAATGGTGAGAAGTGTTTCAAGTGACATGATATGCGGACAAAAAATAACGTCTTTTAATTTTAAGATAAGAAATCGTGCGATTTTAAGACTCAAAATCAGAATCTCTATGTTTGTAACTATGTAAATTTTAGTTTTTGTGCAGGGGCTTTTGGGGATTTTTTGTAATTATCGTAATTACCCTATTGGCACCAAGTTACACACACAATTTTTTATAGTATAAATTAATATTGAATATAACAAAGAATCTTATCGAGTTTCTCCACCATCTAGGTGTAAAAACATAATATACCTACTTATAGGACAAATATTGAAGCTGACTATTCCTCCGCCCGGTTAAAGATACGTATATGGAAGAAACAAAAGATATTTAAAGTTGCGCTGATCATTCTTAAATCTTAGTGAAAATCTTAAATCTATGTCAAATCTCAAATAAAAGTAAGAAAGGGGAATGGGATCGCGTATTAGCTTATCACTCTTCTCTGTCAAGGTCAGCAGATATGGTCGGCAGCATCCTCTGCGTTGCACGACCTCGCCTGTTTGGAAGAGGTTCTAGATGAACCCGAGCTTCTCCATCTGTAATGGGGACTATAGATCCCGAAAGGGGAGCGTCCTGGTGAGTTGGTCACGGTTTCCGGGTCTCATCTCCAGGGAAGGATACACCGTAGGGGTTTTTGTGGGTAGGCCTCCAGGAACCCACCGCGCTGCTAGCTACGGGGTGGGTTCGCGAGGAAGAGTCCCACACACCCCCTGTCGCAGGGTAGTGCCTAATGTATTTCCTCGTAAAAAAAGGAACTTAGTTAATCGACTTAAAAATCGAAAATAAGGAGATTATATGTTCGACGGCATTGTATCTTTTATTTAAAAAAATGTTAAAATATTTTGTACCTTGATATATAATTTCCAACATCCCTGGCTTGAATTGGTGTCATACTCATAGGCATTGGCTCTGGTGTCGACAACCAGAAACTGTAATCTTCTCTTTGCGCGAAATCACACACATTGTTTAAATTACAGAACATGTATGGCATTGTGGAAAATTTACGTAAACAACTACCCGGAGCACCTGAAAAAGGATTAAAAATATATTTTTTTTAATAAAAAAACATTATATTTTTTGGATATATTTGATCAATTTTGCTTGATTGTAAAAGGTTATATATTGGGTTTGAACCCCATCTCGGACATCTGGGACTGGTAAATTTAGTAAAATTTTTCTTATTTTATTTTAATAGAAAGCTCATTATAAACTTAACTTACCTAAGTCTTGTCCATGAGCTTCAGCGTTTGCGACAATATGTATTAATGAGAAACCATCCCATAGTGGTGATGTTCCTTCTGGACATTGTGGTATCATTCTAGTTTGAGAATGTACTGTGAAGAAATAGCCTCGTGATTTCGGTACCGGTGGAGGAGGTGCAGGTAAACCAGGCTCGCCTGGTTCGCCACGGTAACCTTCAAGGCCGCGGTCGCCTCGTTGACCTTTTATTCCTTGTAAGCCCATAAGTCCTGTTTCACCAGGAAGACCTCTATAGCCAGCGTCTCCTTTCAATCCTTTGAAACCTGGGATTCCATTACGACCGGCTATTCCTGGTCTGCCAGGAGCACCGGGTCTTCCATCGAATCCTTGTGGACCAATATCTCCAACTGGCCCAGGTGGAATTTCTGATATTGGAATCATGTCACCTTTGTCACCCTTAAAACCAATTGCTCCTGGTAGACCAATAGGACCTTGTTCGCCTTCATCACCCCTTTCTCCTTTTATACCTATAATTCCACGGGGTCCGATATAACCATCTGAGCCAAAATCACCAGATTCACCCGCCTCACCTTTAATACCACGTAAACCGCTCCAGCCGGGATTACCTGGCATTCCTTTGGGACTTATTGCAAAACCTATTTCGCCAGAATCACCTTTGGTACCAGTTAATCCTGGTACACCTTCCATTCCTCTTGGGCCAGGTGCACCTGGATATCCTCTTCTTCCATGTATACCATCGTTACCTTTCATTCCCTTAGGACCCTGAAAACTGAGCCCTGGCAATCCAGGTGATCCTTCTGGTCCATCAATACCAAAATCTCCAGGAGCACCCTTTTGACCCATCGGTCCAGGCCATCCTGGAAGACCGTCAATTCCAGGTTTTCCTTGTTCACCTTGTTCAGCAAAAGCTCCATTTAAGCCGGGCATGCCAGGTGGACCTTGATCACCTACAGATCCCTTCTGGCCATATAAACCAATGTCACCAGACATCCCTTTTTCACCTATATCACCTCTTATTCCTTTGGCACCTACAAAACCGATGTATCCTTGTTCACCCGTATCACCTCGAATACCGGGAAAACCTTCTGAACCCATTTCACCCATATCACCCCTTGAAGCTGGCAAAAAGGCACTAGGTCCGGGATCACCTTCTTCTCCTTTCCTGCCAATTTGACCTCGTTGTCCTGGTACTCCACGGGGTCCCTGGTCACCGGGAAGTCCTGGAATGCCCATTTTTCCTGGTTCACCGTCCATACCTCTATCTCCTTTTAAGCCCGTAAAACCAACAAAACCGCGATTTCCCATTAATCCTTTAAGGCCATCATATCCATTTCGTCCTGGGATTCCTGCGACTCCTGGATATCCTTTATCGCCAATTTCACCTGTAAATCCCGCTAAACCACTATCACCAATTTCTCCCTTTGTTCCATTAAAGCCTGGTCTACCTGAATATCCCATGTTTCCCCTTGGACCTTTGGGACCAGACATTCCTTCATAGCTAGGACCGATGTCTCCAATATCTCCCTTTTCTCCCTTAAGACCCATAAAACCTGGTCTACCCGAGATACCATTAAAACCTGGTTCACCACTGTCACCTTTAAGTCCTACTCTCGCATTATCTCCAGGCAAACCTTTAAGGCCAGGAAAACCATAATCTCCTAATTCTCCTTTCGCACCAGGCCATCCATCTGCACCAGGGGCACCTTGGAATCCAATATCTCCTCGAGATCCTTTGAGGCCTTGTGGCCCTGGTGGACCTACAATACCAGGCCTGCCATTGTATCCAGGGGCACCAGTTTCTCCACGATCACCCAATTGTCCCATTAAGCCAGTTCTTCCTAAGAGACCCTGAAATCCAGGAAAACCAATGGGCCCACTTTCTCCTGGGCGACCACGAGCGCCTCTAAAACCATCGATTCCTTTCATTCCTTTTTGACCTTCATCACCCGGTATACCATTTGGTCCCTGCATTCCAGGATCTCCAATAGGTCCTATTGCTCCTGGAAAACCGGGTGTACCAGGCATTCCTCGCGCGCCTTGTATTATAATACCAGGTAATCCTTTACGACCCTGTGAAACGAGTATAAAAGTATGTATCAATAATAATTCTGAAATTTATTTATAAAATAAACTTAGTTTATACAAAACTTACGGGTGGTCCTCTCGGGCCGTCGAAACCAATATCTCCTGGCAGGCCTATATCTCCTTTCTGCCCAATAATTCCCATATGGCCTGGAGTACCAGGGTAGCCAGGTTCTCCAATTTCTCCCGGTCCCCCAGGTACACCGTCCAGACCACGGTCACCGTAAATAATGGAAGCTCCAATATCACCACGCGACCCTTTTTGCCCTTTACTTGCCGGGAAGCCTGTTTGCCCTTGTGGTCCAGGAGTACCAGGTTCACCAAATGGCCCGATGTCACCTTTTTCACCTACGTGACCTTTAAAACCTATTGGGCCTGGCATTGTACCACCTGGTCTGCCAGTATCACCTCTGATACCAGGGAACCCGTCATAGCCCATATCACCTTGTTGACCCTTTCTTCCTCGTATACCTAAAAATAAAATCAAAATTTACAATTTACAGTGTTTTCAGTATCCTTTATTATAATTTAAAGAAAATAAACATTTATACAAAAGTCAAAAGTTGACGTTAATTCCGCAACTGGATAATGTAGTACAAAAGGCATCACGGATACTAGGATTCGTCATCAGAAATGGCAAAGTATTCAAAGATGCACACACAAAAATAATTTGATAAAACTCGTTGGTACGAAGCATTTTGGAATATGGCAGTGTCGTATGGCGAACACACTATGCAACAAATAAATACGTCTAGAAAAAATACAAAAAAGGTTTATGAGACACTTGTCGTATTCAAAAGGTATTGCCAAGAGTCTCAAAAGTTACGAGGAAAGACTCAAACATTTCAAAATGACATCATTGAAAAAGAGACGGAACTTACTCGATTTATTATTCTAACATAAAATACTAACGGGTAAAATAAACTGTCCCCCATTACTTTCTCATTTTAAATTCAAAGTGCCACGAAAAGTGCCTCGAAAACCCATAACACCGCTATGTCCGCCTTTCTGAGCCACTGTTTTTGGTGCCAACTCCGCTGTCCCTCGTCTTTCCCGAATTCTCAACCGCTATAGTAATCAAATAAGAAATATTGTAATTGATCAGTGAAAGACACACTATACTATATCAAAACATTGCATTTATGTAGTTAAATGGTGTCTGCTTGTAATTATTTTATGTATTCTAATTCTAAATTAGATGTAATTATTATCTGTAAACTACAAATAGTGCATTAAACTGTAAGTAGAACTAATAAAAAAAAACCTAAGTAGTTCATAGTTATGTAGTGCATTCTATTGATGTTTGTTTTGTTCTAGTTTACGTCTTTTAATGTGTCGTACATTAAGAGATCATTGAGTTATACAAGCCTTTCATAATGGTTTTGCAGATTTATTTTAACACATGTATAAACGACACCGCACTGTTATATCGGCAATTTTGAAATTAACCTCAATAATTAGAAAAAACATATACGTCATTAGTTCAACAAATTTTTTTACATACCTTTTAGTCCAGGATATCCAGGCCGGCCTTTGTAGCCTTTTATGTTTATGTCGCTACCAATAGCTTCTCCGACTTCCCCTCTTATACCATCTTCGCCGGGTTCACCAAAATCTCCACTGAAAAAATAACTCTCAAATTCATATATATTATATATTTACTTTATAAACTTAATTCCTTAAAGTTGTTGTCTTCTTATGACCTTGAATATATATTTTTCGTATAATATGAATGCATTATTATAACAGATGAAGTAATAAAAATTTTATATAACTCCTCAACCAAAATTAAAAATTAATAATACAAATAAAGTTACAAATGCTAAAGCCAATGATAATTGGATTGTTTATAAGCTGAGGATGAGTGAAATTTGTAAACATAACTTGATGTGGTAAACGGTATTTAAGATTAATTATTATTATCAATGTAATCTATACTATAAGCATTTAAATACTGAAACTGATGTGTGAGTGGCTCACACATCAGTTTCAGTGCCTTTCCATCTCTGAAGTCTTGGGTTCGATTCCCGAAACGTAAAAGACGAGTTTTTCTATATCTATTGTCTCCGATCTGGGTGTTATTGTACCTTCGTTGTTCCAGATTTCTAATAGTTCAGTGTCTTTAAGTATTTAATTTGGAAAAGTATACCATGTGGACAATTTTTATTTATTATAATTAATAAATCATAATATAAATCCGTCATTGAAACTTTGTCAACTCTAATTTTATTTATGTTCAAATACGATATTTACATCGGACCCATTTCTCCTTTCTGTCCGACAAGGAAAGATATATGTATATCAGCCGGCCAACCGGGTATCCCTGGCCTTCCATCACGTCCTCTTGACCCGTTCCTGCCTGGTAGACCTGGTGAACCGTAGTCACCCCATCTGCCCTTGATGCCTGGAGGTCCATAATCTCCCCTCATGCCCGGCCACCCTGGATTTCCTGGTTGTCCTATACGTCCATAAAATCCTGGGAAAAAAATATTAAATCGCCATTATACATTTGTCATAATAAGTTGAGGAAAATTTCTTCGTATTTTATATGAAAATTTAAAACATTTTTTTAATTAAGTTTATTTACATTTAACTAAAGTATATAGAGGTACCATTTTGTTCGACAACTTTTTGCCATTTTGTAGGTAGGGACATGATCTTTTTGCTATAGAGATTTTGGGGTTTCTAATCACTGCCTAAGGAATTCTGAAGAGACCGAACTCCTCCCCCCCCCCCTTCTATTGATTAATTCTCGCGGCTTTCTCTCGACTTCTTGCTTTAATCTCTTCAGTTGTTCGCAGTAGAGTTTTGAATCGATCCCACCATATCTTCCAATCCCACCATACCCGCGCCGTTTACGCTGATCTTTCTAACTGGTCAGCAGCGGCGACGCAACCAAAGACTTTTAACTAAAGATTCATCAAACTCGGTTTAATATTTTTAAAATATGTAAACCATAATTTTTAACTAACATAAAAAACATATTAAAGTGAAAAACGATTATTTTGGTCGCGTAATGATTTAAGCCTGGTACTAAAGTTGGTCCTCGTCTTATTATAAGATGAATAGATTTTTAACTTGTGGAGCAAACTATTTATTGAGCTTGGCCATCTTATTTGATGTGCTGTTGACTATACACTCGAATAATCATAAAAATCTTTTTGATTCTTTATATCATACGTCAGTGGGTTAAATAGCAACGAGCTTTTACAATATATATTTTTTATTTTAAATAAGAAATATAATACATCTTCTCGTATCTTCTTTAATAACATTTTTTTGTTAACTTAGTTGATAATAAAGTTCAAGTTCCAATACATTTGAGCTATTTGTATCAGCCGAACGTTCTACCGTTATATTAAATAATAGTTAATTAGAAACTAATTAAATTATGACGAACACATATATACTCACCAATGTCTCCTTGTTCCCCTGGGTCTGCTATAGTCATAGATAGGGGTGGACGTTTCAAAGATCCATGTCTTCCTGTCGGACCTTGGGGACCAGCCATGCCAGATTGTCCTTTACTTCCTTTAGGTCCCTTTGGGCCTGGAGTTCCAGGTCGACCAGGGAATCCGTCTACGCCTCGAGCTCCAGGCAATCCTTCCGGCCCAGGGAATCCTTTCATCCCAGGGAAACCATCGTCTCCTCTTTGACCTTTAGCTCCCGGAAAACCTAAAAAAGACTTTACATTAAAAAAACATGAAAATTTGCTATGACAACTAATTCACTAGCGATCTACTACTACTAGCGATTTCGCACGGGTAATTAGATTCATGATAAAACTTCCTACGATACAGGAAAACCGGAAAGAAATCCTTTGTCTGGTTTAGAAAGAATAAAAAGCCTAACAGATACAAGGAGTGACAGAGGCGAAGAGAATGATATACAATATGCTGTGTTATTAAATTGCATTCAAAATTGATTAGCATGTACAAGAAAGTGTGTATCATCATTATCAATTGCACATTAATGATATTTGAATTTTTACTTTGTTTTACCAAAAACTTTCAATTCTACGAGACCAACTGGGGGCCGATCCGTTTTCGATTTGATTTAAACAAAATTTATTTAGTAGAATTGGCCCCCAGTTCGGTTTTAAAATTGTATCTTAGGTCACAGTGCAGTAGTGTTGCCAGACGTAATTTGTAAAAGAAAATTGTATAACGGAAAAATCAGTACTTACAAAAAAATTTTAATCGACTTATTCACAAATTGTATTAGACGGAATACGGATCAGTTGTTTGTTTTTACAACAAAATAACTTTAAGCAATACACTAGATTTATTTAAAAAAAATTGTTTTGTTTCATTATATTCAGATTAAATTTATTTAAATTGTATTAACTAATTAAATTTCATTTTGATTTGATTTATTATCAATAACTTAAGTTAATTACGTTTCACATGGCATTTCATCATTAAAAATATTAAAATCAGTAACGAAAACATGTTTAAGTGACGTTTAAGATGGTTTAAGTACGGTTTGTTTTAAATTCTCAATTCAGAAGCCGAGAGTAATAATATTGTTTTACCTGATCGACATATTGGGCAATCATCACCGCGATCTCCTTTTGATCCTGGATAACCCGGTGTCCCAGGACGACCTGGATCACCCACAGGCCCAGGGAATCCTGGGCGGCCAGTTTCACCAGGAGGTCCGGTTCCAATCCAGCCTCTACCCGGAAAACCAGCTGGACCCATAAATCCAGGTTCACCACGTTCACCACGAAAACCAGGCACACCATCTATACCTGGCATACCCCCTTCACCGTCGGGACCCACGACTGTAATACCTTTGAAACCCTTGACACCCATTGATCCTGGTAAACCTTGGAACCCAGGCGGGCCTCTTGGTCCTGGTAAACCTTTGAAACCATCATTTCCTGGTTCACCCTTCGGAGAAGTGCCAGGAGGTCCAGGTCTACCCGCAAAACCCTTTGTGCCTGGCAATCCAGGTAATCCCATAATACCAGGCAACCCAGGTTGTCCATTTAAGCCTGGAGCACCTAGTGGGCCTACGAATCCTTCAGGGCCCTGTGGACCAATAGAGCCAGGCAAAATTGGCTCATTTAAACTAGGATCGAATCTGCCTGGCTCTCCCACTGGACCTTGTGGTCCCGGATTACCAGAACGTCCATCTTCACCTCTTTCACCAGGAGTTCCATCGGACCCATCTAGACCTGCGTATCCTGGGGCTCCTTTATCACCTTTAGAACCCGGAGGTCCATCTTGGCCCCTATGTCCTGGTTTTCCTCTAGGGCCATCCAAACCTTGATCTCCTTTTTGACCTTGGATACCATTGATACCACGAGGACCCTACAAAGATAATGTATAATGATAAAGTTTGTTGACAACATAAATATTTACATTTTAAATATTATTGAATAACAATACAGAGAAGCACTCTGTGTTTGAATTATATAAAAAATACCTATTTGAATAGTATTATAGCATACCAATTAAAATAAGTTAAAATTTAATTGATTTATAAATAACACTTATAATACTGAGTGGAATATTGTTTAACTTATTTAAAATAAAATATTAAGAAATGACTAACCGGTAGGCCGACAGAGCCTATCATGCCTTTGCTTCCCTTTTCACCTCTCATTCCTCTTAAGCCTTTTTCACCCTTGAATCCTTTTGCTATTATAGTAATATTTTGTTGTAGTTCATTATCGACTATAATCTGTGATTGTCTGCCAGGTTCACCGATTTCACCTTGATCTCCTTTTTGTCCAGCAGGTCCGATCACTTCATCACCTTGATCTCCTCTATAACCTGATTCACCACGCGGTCCGGCTGGACCCTTAAAACGAACAAAAAAATAATTTAGTTCCACCAATATGAAAGTAGATTCCTTCAATTTAATGCACCTGACAGAATGGATTAAAAATTATTTATACAATAAGTGTTTTTACTCACCTGATCACCGTCTTCACCAACTGGTCCACTGTCACCCCTATAACCTTGAGGACCGACTTCACCAATACTGCCTGGACGTCCAAACTCTCCTTGTTCTCCTTTCGCTCCGCGTGAGTTCGATCCTCCTTCACCAGCTAAGCCTGGAAACCCTTTTTCTCCGTAAAGACCAGGCAAGCCTCTATCTCCTGGAATGCCTGGTCTGCCAGGCGGCCCGATAACACCGTCAACACCACTGCATCCATCTAGACCTGGTAATCCTCTTACACCTTCTAATCCTTGCATGCCCTTTAGTACAATATTCACTATTATTGATAAGATCGACAATTGTAATACTTTATTTTATTAGATTAAGAGTATACCTGTGATCCTTGATATCCTCTAGGTCCATATGGTCCGTCAATGCCCTGAAAAAAAATTATATCTTCGATTTTTCGAAATGCAACTACGCGAGGGTTGATGCACGAGTCATTTTTTATAATCGATATTGTCATGTTGTTAGCATCTATTCCTTATGTGTTTGGATATCTCTGAAACTATAACATATATTTGTTCTACATCCGAGGATTTTTTCCATCAATTCCTTTTGTTGCGTGAATATCGTAGCTCCTTATCTTAAACAAACTTTTTTTTTTTTACTTATGTAAAATCATAACTCATTTTTTAATTGACGACCTACGTAGCCGAGTGGTTCGTACGCCGGTTTCAAGGTGTCACCATCTCTAAGGTTCCGGGTTCGATTCCCAGTATGATCAAAATAGAAAATTAACTTTTCTATATTGTTTCGTGTCTGGGTGTTGTGGTAATATTTATTAATTAATTGGTAGTTTATTTTAAAAGAAAAATATTTGAATTTTATTAAGATCGTACCCGTTCGCCTTTATCACCATAATCACCACGTTCCCCAAAGTCTCCAGGTTCACCGACCCTGCCCACACGGCCGTCAGGACCGTCTTCGCCATAGTCTCCTTGTGGACCCTGTAGTCCGGGAGGACCAGGAGTGCCTCGGTCACCTTTCAATCCGGCGCAGTCGCATACTGTTTGGTTGCACGCCACCTGCAAAAAGTGTATTCAATAAAATTGGTAGATAAACACTTATTTGGCTAAATATGACGTCCTAAGACAAAATAAGTACCTAAATATAACTGCTAGATTGAGGACACATTAATCGGTAGTATTGTGAACGTGCTTTATCGTTCGGACCTCTGACACACATACAATCAGCAAGTGTAAGAGCATTTCACTTCCTATTTTATAGTAGAGCATGGAATTTAAGTATAAATGAATGAAGTTTATATCACATAATACATCACATGTTTATTGATATCATGTAAATATTTTAATTTTAATATTGTAACATTGTTATTCTTAATACAAAATGCTTAAAAAATCCACTTGGTCCCTGGCACCCTGAGATGGGAATCGAACCCACGACCTTTCGCAATCCGGGCGACTGCTCTAACCACTGAGCTACCCAGGACCTAACAGGACTGACGAAGCTTTTAAGCACTTATTACTTTTCGCTACTACAAAGCGTATTCTCATCAATGAGGCAGAGCGTATTCTCATCAATTCAAACTTTTGCTGTCCTGCTTAGCTTTGAAGTTACAAATATAATTTTTTTTTTGGATTAGTTTCAACTGACGAAATATTTTTAGTGCGTAAAAATACCGGAAAATTTTTCAATCTATGCACAAATTTTATCATCGCGTTCTCTATCCCTGATCACATGGCATTGTCATGCAAGTTTTCCGGACGAATATATGTAGCATAGTGTAGTCTACATTGTTAACTCTAGTTCACACACGCCTGCACATCACGTTTCTACAATATGTTAAATTTCCTCAATACGATTATAGACAGTAAACGAAAATAAATACAGTTTTTTTTTCTGGTAGTGTTTATTATAATATTACCGATAATAATCACACTTTTTTGGTTAGCATAATTATAATATGGCTTAAATTAATAATGAAAAATCTATTTTTCAGCTTACACTTACATTTTCAATTAAAATATGTATAACATTTCAAAAACATCCTTATGTTTTAAAAGTACATAATGAAAAACAAATATTTTAACGTTGTCACGTGACTGCAAACAGCGCGTGAAGTCACGACCCTCTCTGCATACCTATATTGAACCTTATGCATTATAGAACTTATATTGAACCTTATGCATATTAGAACGATATTAGTTTTAGATGGGCGTGACGTCATAGCGACGCCACGACAGAAGGTTTGAAATCAAGTGGAGAAATGTGATTGTTTTGTATACCCTGACGTGCTGTTAACTATACTTAAATTCATATATCAAGAAATACGTGTATACTTATAGTTATTACTGTAAATTATAAAGGCCGATAAATTAAAGAAAATCAACATAACCCCAAAGGAAAGATTATAATTATAAATCATATACATATTTGGTATATACTAAAAACAAATATTAAAAACATTCGCGTATATAATATTAGTAGGGTAGGATGTAATTATATAACTTTCACGAAATTTGAAACGCAGATCATACCGAAATACAATAATTATGTAAACAAATCTTATAATGATCCAATTATCTAGAATTTAAATTGTTGAATTACCAATTTTATTTCGTTATAAAAGTAAATTAAAAAATACTATTTGGAACTATGAGTAGGTATATTTAGACGTAGCGAGGCAATCTCTATTACTTAAGACGCCATTACAATAGAATACTATCAATTTGCATTTGATATGACAACATGGCTAAATTTACTAGACGACGCAATGCAATAAAGCAATGTTGTCACTTCACAGTACATTTGTGGGTTACGAGTTTTAAATTTACAGCTCTTTTATTAACTACGTGTTTCTTGCAATTACTATGACACTTTAATTATTTTAAAAGCAATGAAATTGGTTGAAAAGTTTTGAAAATTACCCTTGATAGGTATTCAACCAATTTTTCAAACTTAGTATGAGTTTATTTGATGTTTATATTCACGTTTGACCTTGCACGTTATAAGATTACAGTATGCAAAGTGCTATTAAGAATTACAAATCTCGATACGATATATATCTCGTTTAAGTATAATATAATTCAAAATTAAAAGTTTCTTTTCAAAAATAATTTATGGATCTTGGATTATGATCAAGATAGGATTTTAAGCAAGATCCGGGGCATGATTAAATTACAACTACATTTCATAATAATCTATAAATCTATCTATACATATATAAAAGGAGATGTCCTGACTTACTGACTGACAGATAACGCACAGCCTAAACTGCTGGTTGTAGAAACTTGAAATTTGGAGGGAACATTCTCTTAATACGTAGAGGTGTAATAAGAACGAATTTTTGAAAATTCCATCCCGAAGAGTGAAAATATTGGTATGAAACTTTTCCGTTTTTGGACCTTCATCGATGAAAATTGATATTTGGCTAGTTTAAGACCTAAGAAGGATTTTATCACTTAAAGTGATGAAAATTTATTGAAATTCATAGTCATGTTAAATTACACTTTTCTTATACAAATCGTTTTTGAGCTAAACTGTAGATCGACGGGAAGACAGACAGACATAACGAAACTATAAGGAACCGGAAACTTGAAAGTGAAAGCGCCTTTGTTTGATAAAAATCGGAAAAGCAATAGAAACAACAAATATTAAAACCCCGTCTTTAAAATACAGTAGCGTCCTCTAACGAAACAGTTAATTGTGTCATTTAATTTTTTTTATGGGATAGGGGGCAGACGGTTCATCTGATGGTGAGTGATTACTTTGATTGATTACAGTTTTGTGTACTAAACCAACATTACATAAGCATTTAAAATTAGCAACAACGATAGTGCCCATTTGAATTATTCAAATCATTATTTAATCCTGTGTAAAGAGCAAAATCCTTTAATAATGGATTTGTAAAAATTGGAATGACATCCCTACTGAATTGTAAACTATGACAACGTTCTAATGCTATACGAACTTTCAGATCCATTTCAACCGATTATGTGCAATATTTAGGATAACATATAAGATAGACTTTTTTAAAACTTTAAATGGGATCAATTTCTAACTTTCAGATATTTATTTAATAAGTCTATACTGTTACATAGCACTTCTGAATGTTGAAAACCATGCCAACGGTTCCGAAAAAAGAAAGGTTTAAAAAAGTAAAAGTCTCACGATTTTGTAACATTTTTCATTCCTGCTCCAGTCCTATAAGACATAGCGTGATGTTATGTAGCCTATAGCCTTCATTGATAAATGGACTATTCAACACAAAAAAATAATTCAATTCGTTTCAGTAGTACCTCAGAAGATAGAGTTCAACAAAACAAACAAGCTTCAGCTTTATTATTAGTACATATATATGAACTACATAACCATTGTCTGAAGTCATTCTTATCTTAAACATCTGTTAATATTATCTTAGATCATAATTCTTTAGCCCGATGCTGACCTACATCTTGATTTTACTACAATTTTAATTGCTGGTGCGACCAGTATCTTTGCTACTTATTTATTTTTATAGATGTTTAAACATATGATTGACATTTTAACTTTTATTTTTGATAAGCAAAAGTAAGGTATATTTGCACAATTTTAGGTCAATAACGTTATTATTATGTCTAATGAATATAATACATAACGACTATTATCATAATTTCGCTTTATATAAAACGAAAATTATTTAAACTAATATTAATTTTGTTAAATATCAACCAATTAACATAATATTCATATAACACTTAATTTTTATAATGTTTTTTTTTAACATCATTATCATATCTATTTATTCTTCACATAATATATATATTTTTATCAAAATTGATTATTATAACTTGCGCTTTATGCAACTACGAATTCACAATACATAACTTTCATTAAATAAACCAATTAATTGATGTAACAGAATATAACCGCTATTTTATATGTATACTTAGTAATGTATTATTACAATTTTAGTTCTATTCACTAAAAATATAATATTTCCTTCGTAATACAAACTATAATATTCCGCCTTTTAACATAAAACCAATAAGGTTAATTCAAAGTCATCATTTATCGGCATTGAGAAAAAACATAAAGCAGGAGAAAGGTGGGGGAGGGGGGTAGAACATCATTCGTTTAAGTTAGAACTGTGACCAAAACAAAAAACGCGCCAAAAAGCGGAGCGAGCGTAAAAAAAAACTAAAACAGTTGTAGGAATTTCAAATTGAATTATATGTTCAAACGGTCAATCTAAATTATATCGAAGACCATTACCTAAACAAATCTGAATAAGTGGTACTTTGATTCACTTGTTAGATTACTGGGAAACCGATGAAAAAATTTAATGCAAATGCGTTGATGAGCGCGTATGCCGGACGCTCGCGTGCGACATTCCGCCCACACGCGCCGGTGACCGGAAGAGCACGCTACTTTGTGAGCTAAACTGAATGACGGCCTGAAACAGATCTGCAACGTTCTTATTAAAATAAACAAATCTACTTTTAAAGAATAACATTCGACAAGACATTACAAAATTCCAAAGATAAAGACTTCATAATTGATACATTTCCCGTGTGTGCCAAGAAGCTATAGATTGTTATATAAGTTATATTTGTAGTAAAGATAGTTGTACCCTATCTAAATAACCAAGTTTACCTAACTATTGAATATACCTAATGACGTGCCGGGTGCACCTCACTTATATTGCGATGACTTCCGCAATTGTAAAGTTTCATGGTTTCACGATGTCTCGACTTCATTTCCCGATCGAGTCCATCAAGGAATCGATCTTTTGTATTCGTTTCTGCATAAGTTGTCATTATTTCCGATTTCTATAATATAAATGCTTATATACTTATGTCATTTTAGATAAGAGTGATACTATAAGAGGTTATAATTTAAAATCCGAAATCCACGCGAGCAAAAAGTTTTCAGCTGATTGAGCTTGACGACAATGCGTGTTCAAATAATTATAAACGATGATGTTGTAAGCGATTATAGAACATATGAGTCATTAGTTGCAATTCAAGGAACGGACTGGATAAACAATCATGCAGTGTCCCAACCGATAACGGCCATTCGCACA